CAGTAACTTGGAGGGATGTGTAATTTAATGAGCGCTTCCAGCGAGCAAACGGGAAGTCCCATGAGAACATGGGTTTTACCAGGGGCCGATTTTTAGCAGGTTCCTTTTCCCTCAGCAGACCACGTTACATAGAAATGCAGGTTCACACGGCGCGCACCACGCACAGATACTCTTTCCTGTCACCTGGAGCAGTGCGGGAAGAGGGGTGATGGCCTGCCCAGGAAGGGGGCTGCGGAGTCCCAGCCCTGTAGCTAAAGGCTGGACAGGGTGGCAGCTGGCAGGGCAGCCGAGAGCCTCCTTGTCTGGCCAGAAAGTAGAGGGGGCCCCCTGCATCATGCCTGGGCTGGGCCAGGAGCACAGAGCAGCAGCCCTGCCGAAGTGGACCCTGGCTGCCCAGGAGACCGCAGCCTTCATCCCAGTGGCTTCAGGCTGGGACTTGAAAGGTGGGCACAAAGCTCTCATCCTTTCCAGATATAGAACAGGAAAAGCCAAGTACCCCTTATGTGGCAGATACGGCCTGGGTGCCTAAATGCAGAGTGCTGGGTTATCAGGGAGCCCCGGCTGGCCTCACACACACAGCTTTAACCATACAGGAATCAGTCTGGCAAGCAAAGAAAGTATCACTGTTAAGTGCTTGCCAGTTTGGAGGCCGGCATCCGTGGGAGAGGGGGTGTCTCAGGAGCCCCTCTGAAGCTCACTCACCATAGCACAGCGTGCAAGTGCCATGGGCATGCCGGGGCAGATGTGGGGGCGGGGAGGGCACCTGACCTGCTTTCAGGGAGAGAGCGAGGGCTTCCCAGAGGAGATGACATCCATACACCGGGGTGGGATAGGATGAGAGGAGGAGTGACTGTTCAGCCAGCACAGCAGAATCTGCTCCAAGATTTACCAATATTTTCACTTCCCTGCGAGGTGTGGGAGCAGGGGAGGATCTGCCTTGTCCCCTGTTGGCATTCGCACTACTGGTGCAGAAGCAGTGGTGGGGAGGATGGCTGGCACTTGATGTGGGTTAGTGCAGTGGCTCCGAGCTGTGGGCATTCTACTCTTCCTTGCCACAGAGCATGTGCGGTCTTCAAAGCAGTGCAGGTTGACTTGTTGCAGCAGTAAGCGGTGTTTTGGGTTAAACCTCCACCTTGAATGCACGTGCCTGTGTGTGGTATGTGATGAGATGGGAAGCGCGGGTATACCGTGTCTGTCCCATCCCACAGCGTGATGCAGCTGTTTGATCTGTAAGCTCACCTGGCCGCTTTGCTGAAATGCTGATCTTACCCAAAAGTATGGCATCTAAATACGGTGATTCAGGTTTAGGCATTTAAAGGAAAACTACAGAGAACTTTTGTTGGCATAGTTAAAATTCAAGTTTTCAAGCAAAAGTAGGATTTTAGAAGACTTACATCTGCTACTGAGACTTGACAATTGCTAATACTTAAGACTTTTTGGATGAGCTTGGTAATGGTATTACTAGTAAGTGTGGTTTTCCAATTTGTATAAGAAATGTGTCAACACTTGGACGGTCTACCTCAATCAGTGATCTGAGATGTCCCAGACGACCAATGCATCATGTTACAGAGACATGAGTAGTTAAAAGATCCACCCAAAGTGTCAATTAGGCTAATGGATTTTACTGTGATGGAGAAAGAAAAGTTGATGGGGGGGCGGGCCTTGTGGCATAGTAGGCAAAGCCACCTCCTACTGTGCCAGCATCCCATATGGGCGCCCTTTCGAGACCTGGCTGCTCAACTTTGGATCCAGCTCTCTGCTGTGGCCTGGGAAAGCAGTAGAAGATGGCCCAAGTCCTTGGGCCCCTGCACCCACCTGGGAGACCTGGAAGAAGCTCCTGGCTCCTGGCTTTGGATTGGCACAGCTCCGGCCATTGCAGCCAACTGGGGAGTGAACCAGCAGATGGAGGATCTCTCTCCCTCCCTTTCTCTCTCCCTCTCTCCCTCTCTCCCTTTCTCCCTTTCTCTCTCCCTCTCTCTCTGCCTTTCTGCCTCTCTGTTATCTTTGCCTTTCAAATAAATAAAATAAACCTTAGAAAAAAATAAGAAAAGTTGATTGATAAGGTTTCAGATTCCACACTGCAGCTAACCTTACATAACTGACAGTCTGTCGAGTTTCAGTGTGTGGCCTCAGAAATAGCTGCAGTTGTCTGAAAAGGATATTACAGTACCAGCTACAGCTTCTCTCTCTCTCTCTCTCTTTTCAAGATTCCTTTATCAATCTGTTTATTTAAAGGACAGAACTGCAGAGAAGGAGGTACAGACAGAGAGAGAGGTAGAGAGAGCGAGCGAGCTTCTGTTCACTGGTTCATGCCTCAAATGCCCACACCAGCCAGGGCTGGGCCAGGCTGAAACCAGGAGCCAGGGACTCCATCCAGGTCTCCACAGGGTGGCAGGAAAGCAAGTGCTTGAGTCGTCTCCTGCTGCCTTTCAGGTGTGTTGGCAGGAAGCTGGACACTGATACGGGACACAGGAATCCCAGGCAGCGGCTGAACTCAGGTATCACTGCAGCCGTCCCAGTCTGGGTTTTCTCCAGAAACCTCAGCCAGATCGTTGGGCCACTCAGACTCAGTGCAGAAGCGGTGTGCCCAGCCAGACAGGAAAGAGCAGGAGTCAGAGCAGAGCTCCTCTGCCCAGCAAATTGTCCTTTCATGTTGTAGAATAGAGGTTTGTTTTTATAAAGTATTTTGTGATAAAATCTATTGTGTTTACTGTTGTGTTTCTCTAGTGAGCTCGTGACTGTTTAAAACTTTCCAACTTTAATTCATGGTACAGAATATGCCTGTGGATATAACACATAGACAAACACCTTTTTTTTAGTCATTTTGAAAGAATGTAAAGAGGTCTTGAGACCAAAAGGTTTGAGAGCAGGGATCTGAGTATTTGAACCTGCAAAGGATTATTAACTACTGGGCCAAATGGATGTGCAGATTGAACCCTCACACTAGACAGGGGTGAGGAAGAGCCCCATCAGAGCACACCCTGGCGAGATTCAGGATCCTAGCGAGAACCCAGCAACTCTCCAAGGGGAAAGTCCTCACACCGAGAGGTGTAGAAAATTGGAGAGCGGCCGGCGCCGCGGCTCACTAGGCTAATCCTCCGCCTAGCGGCGCCGGCACACCGGGTTCTAGTCCCGGTCGGGGCGCCGGATTCTGTCCCGGTTGCCCCTCTTCCAGGCCAGCCCTCTGCTGTAGCCAGGGAGTGCAGTGGAGGATGGCCCAGGTGCTTGGGCCCTGCACCCCATGGGAGACCAGGAAAAAGCACCTGGCTCCTGGCTCCTGCCATCGGATCAGCGCGGTGCGCCGGCCGCAGCGCGCCAGCCGCGGCGGCCATTGGAGGGTGAACCAACGGCAAAGGAAGACCTTTCTCTCTGTCTCTCTCTCTCACTGTCCACTCTGCCTGTAAAAAAAAAAAAAAAAAAAAAAAAAAAAAAAAGAAAATTGGAGAGCTACCCACCGGCGACAGGTGAAGCACTGTTTGCAAAGCTGTGAGTGCAAATGCTTCCCAACCTGAAACTGCTTTTTCCCCGAATAGTCAGGTGTGGGCGTAGGAGGAGGCACCCTCAATAGGAGAGGATGTGCACACGAAACTGCCCTGTGCCCCTGCCCAGAAAGTGGCTGCAGATGGACCCTGTCGGAGGGGAAGTGCAGAGAGCAGGGCACAGCACGGGATCCAGGACAAGCCCAGCAAGGGAGACCCCCGGGAGTTCCCAGGATGGCACCTGGAGAGGGGACATAAAGAACGGGGTGGGGGGATGGGGGAAGGTTTTACAAAGGACCCTCCAGGGAAAAAAACGTGGCCCCCAGGGATTCCCTCATGCATAGGACCGTGTTGAGAGTCACACCTCCATAGGAGATTCATGATCGATAGAAACAAGGTGAGCAGAGAAATCAAAGGATCAGCAAAACCCCAGGGAAAACAAATGGTTGAACAAGAAAGGAAATTTGATCAGGCTCAGCTGTGAACAATGTTCACATCATCATCAAAGTAACGGCAACAGTGAATATTGATTTTTTTTTATTTGACAGATAGAGTTAGGTAGTGAGAGAGAGACAGAGTGGAAGGTCTTCCTTCTTTTGGCTCATCCCCCAAATGGCCACTACAGCCGGCACTGTGCTGATCCGAAGCCAGGAGCCGAGTGCTTCCTCCTGGTCTCCCATGCGGGTGCAGGGGCCCAAGCACTTGGGCCATCCTCCACTGTACTCCCGAGCCACAGCAGAGAGCTGGACTGGAAGAGGAGCAACCGGGACTAGAACACAGCGCCCATATGGGATGCTGGTGCCGCAGGTGGAGGATTAACCAAGTGAGCCACAGTGCCGGCCCATGAATATTGATTTAAGCAGTAAGTAGTACAGCCCTATTGGAAGGATAGAAAGAGTTGTTGGCATATGTTGATGGGGAGGAGTATGGAGGAGGGAGATGAAGGTAGGTGAATCAGTAAATACTACTCGGAATAGGCGAGTGTGCTATTTCAATGACGAGTTGGCACAGGCATTTGGTGTAGTGGTTAAAACACCACCTTGTCATGCCCGTGTCCCACGTTGGAGTGCCTGGGGTTCATGTCTCCATTCTGCTCTCAGCTCCCGCCACTCACCTGGAAAACCCAGGTTCAGTTCCCAGCTCCGCTTTGATGCAGCCCAGCCCCAGCTGTTGTAGGCATTTGGGGAGTGGACCAGCAGATCATTTATCTGTCTGTCATCTATCTCTGCCTTTCACATAAAAAATATAATTTTCAAAAGTGTATTTCTTCCTATTAAAATACACAGAGTTAATAAAGGAAACAAGCACAAGAGTTTAAAGTGGTTTTCTCGGGGATGGAGGAATCCGTGTTAAAGAGGCAGGGCAGGGACTTCTGTGTTGGACTTTAAGCCTTTAGAGCAATTTGGGGTTTTTTGTTTTTTGTTTGTTGTATCTCTCTATGGGTGGATTTGTTAAAAAATCTCTTTTCCAGTTGGCACCATTTAAAAATTTGTACCCGATACGCCCCTCTCTTGTTTTAGCCATACTATCCATTGTGTAGTGTTTGAATCAGAATGAGCATATCTGTTCCTGCAAATGTTTATCATTTTTTTGTGAACACATTTAAAATCCTTGCTTCTAGTTCTGTAAAAATGTGCAGTTCTGGGGCAGGCATCTGACCGAACAGTTAGGATGCTCTTGGGACTCCCGACCCCTTACTCGAGTACGTGAATGCAAGTCCTGGCCCCACTCCCAATCCAGCTTCCTGCTGATGCTGCGCTGGAGGCAGCAGGCGCTGGCTCAAGTCATTGGATCCCGGCCATCAGCCATGTGGGAGACCTGGATTGAGTTCCAGGCCCCTGGCTGTGGCCCTGGTCCAGCCCCCGCCATCGTAAGCATGTGGGAAGCAAACCAGTGCAAGAGAGTTCTTCGTGTGTATGAATGTGTGTATGTGTGTGTGTGTGTGTGTGTGTATCTGCCTCTCAATTAAAATGTAAAAATACACGCAGTACATTATCATTATCTGTAGTTACCCCACTGTGCAGTGGAGTGCCAGCCGTTATACCTCCTATCTCATGCCGGCTTAGTACCCGCTGGCAGGCTGTTCCATCCCTCCCTCCCCCGTACTCTTCCCCAGCCTCTGGTAACTGCTTTCTAGTACATGTATTCCTTAAATAAAAAATGTAAAAGGGGTAGAAGGCTTGATGAATTGCAAAAAAAATAAATTATTTCCAAGTGAAAGAGTTGAGAGAAGCTTATGATGATCTGGTTGGTTCAAATTTAAGATTTCTAAATGTTGGGCCAGCACTGTGGTCCAGAGGGTTAAACTGCCACTCACGACACCAGCATCCCATGTGAGTCCCAGCTGCTCCTCCCCCGATCCAGCTCCCTGCTCATGCACCTGCGAAAGCAGCAGAAGATGGCCCCAGGTCTTGGGCCCCTGCCCCCTCCACATGGGAGACCCCGTTGGAGTTCCAGGCTCCTGGCTTCAGCCTGGACCAGCCCTGGACATTGCAGTCATTTGGAAATTGATTGCTTCTGTCTCTCCTTTTCTCTGTAACTCTTACTTTAAATAAACCTTTAAAAGAAAAGGATGTCTGGATGTCAAGAAGTTCTGCGGCCCAGAGGATGACTTTGGGGATGGGAGGCAGAGTGAAGGCTTTGCAGTTGATGAGGTTGGTGAGCCGAAAGGCCAAGGCTCCATCTGGCCTCTGCACTCAGTGATGGCAGGATTTGGGGTGCAGGCAGGCGGGTCTCCGGGAGCTGGGACCCAGCTGCTCTGACCCAGGGCTGACCGTGTGCACGTTTGCCCTCCATGTGAGTGAAAGGTGAGCCTTTCCCTCCTGAACTGCAGGAGTAACGGTTGTGTGATGGGTGGTGGGAGTGGTGGTAGGTGCTGCCCGCCCTGGGTCTTAGCCATGCAGAGGGTTTGCCTGGGGCTCACACCACCCGCGCAGACTGTGCGCGCAGGACTCCCACGCAGCTCAGCTGTCTTCGGGCCAGGAGGCTCCCCTGTCCTCCAGCATCCTCCTGCACGGCCTCCAGGGGAGCCACCACGAGGGTGGGCAGTCTCAGGCCGGGGCATTTGCTCCTCACCTCGGTCAAGCACTTCGCTCCCCCAGGGAGGAGGAGGAGGAAGGCCCTCCCCTAGCAGAAGCCCCTGCTGTCAGTCACAGTGAGCGCTGCGGGCCACACAGGCGCCGGCTGGCTGGCTGTGGCCAGCGTGGAGGTCCTCACAGGGTGATGAGATGATGTTTTTCCTCACTGGTAGGCAGGCCGCAGAGTGGAGATGTCCCAGCCTTGCCAGTTGCCACCTCTCCCCTCCCCCCATCACCCACAGGGTGCGTTGGATTCGTCCATGGTACTTCCTGTGCACTTCCCATAACCATCTTCTGTTGTGTTCTGTGTGTATTTACAGAACGCTTTGCAGTTTTGCCGGGATAGGGAGTGCATCTTACTGCTGTGTGTATGCCCAGCCTCATAGTCCTTGGCGTTGATTGAGTACAGTGTAATTTTTGGCAGATGGATGGATGAATATAAAAAAGACGGATGTTTGGCGTACATAAAAGCTTTAGGGAAATTTCATTATGAAAGTATTAAACAAATGCGTGTTGTTGTATTTGTTAACAAATAAGTCTACCAGATGACTGAATTCCAGTGGAAATGGGGTAGGGATATTTACCAAAAATCCTCTTCAATTTTTTTTTCAATTGCAGATCTTGCTAAGTCGCATCCTTTTTCAAAGGGAAAAACTCCACACATCCAAAACTCAAAGTCCCACACAGCTGCTTGCACGTCGGCTTTCCTGCAGGAGTTGCAGTGCACTGTTGTGGAACACTGAGGTGGAGGCTCTGAGGTCAGGAGCTGACCAGGGCCCTCTCTTGGTCAGCAGCTTGTCCTGTGCTAGGGATGGGCTCGCGGTCACAAGAGAAGCAGTGGAGGCGGCTGTTAACCAAGGCGAGCAGGGCGGTGACATCTGCTGGGGGAGGACAGGCAGACAGGCACGGCTTTGCTAGGACGGTGATGTGTGCGACACCAGCTTGGGGCTGGGGTCTGCAGTCGGCGACACCGCCTCCTCCGTCACCTTGTGGAGCCCTGAGCTCCTGTTTCGCATTCTCCCCTCCATTGCTTTGCTTTTCACAGATCCAGCTGTGCTCTGTTGGATCATCCATGAATGTCTCCCTGCTTCCCCTGACCTCTCCCACCAGGCCTGACTTTCAGTGCATCACGGAGCCCTCAGGGGCTGGGACCCCACACCCTCCATCTTGGCCCTGGGAGGGAGGCCCAGCTCAGGCCTGGCGGAGCCCCTGTCGGGGAGCTGCAGACACAGAGATGAGGAAGGCGTGGCGGGTGCTGGGCTTGCTGAGCGCTGACTGTCTTCCTCTTGGGGAAGGAGGATGCTGACTTGGAGCATCCATCAGGGTTCTGCAGGTTGCAGCTGCACGGCCGCGGTGGTGCAGCGACGGCCTGAGCCGATGGAGGAGTGCACCAGGACTCTGACGGCTCCTCACCATCCTGCAGCAGCTCCTTAGCTGCAAGAGGCCTGGAGGTGGGACCAGGTCAGGGACCATGTGGCCATGTACCCAGAGCGAGTGCACACCTGCCTGGCAGGGGAGGGAGACCTGAGCCACGCCTGGGAAATCGGGGGCACCAGAGGTGCTGGTGCAGAGGTGGCCTTGGTCTATCCCTGCTGGGCGCGCCCTCCCGAGGAGCAGATTCTGGGGTCTTTTCCCAGACCTGCAGTTCTTCCTATGGCCTCTAGTCCACCTTTAGAATATTCCTGAAACTGGAAACTGTTGGGGCATCAGACTGCGAAGAGCGTGGCCCTGGCCCCGGAGACACACTGCTCCTTAGCTCATCCTTGGCACCCGGAACCCCTCCCGGCGATGCCACTGTGCCTCCTGCAGTGTGTCTGGATGTGGTGACAGCTTGTGGCTGCTGACTGTGGTTTCTGGTTTGTACTCTCCCTTTCAGGCCCAGGTGAAGGCAGAGGAAGTCCAGAGTGGAGTTGGCTGCTGAAGTGAGCACACAGCAGGGCTGGACGTAGCAGGGGTGATGGAGACAAGCTCGCACTGGGCAGCTTGGGGCAGCAGATGGAGGCCAGAGTGCAGCAAAAAGCAAGGTAGAGAGGCTGGCGTTGTGGCATAATGAGTCCAGCACCCCATATGGGCACCATATGGACTCAGGTCCCAGCTGCTCCTCTTCCCATCCAGCTCTCTGCTAATGCACCTGGGAAAGCAGCAGGAGATGGTCCTAGTGTCTCCATGTGGGAGACCCGAAAGAAGCTTCTGGCTCCTGGCTTTGGCCTGACTCAGCACCAGCCAGAGACAGATCTCTCTGTCTCTCCCTCTTTCTCTGTAACTCTGTCTTTTAAATAAATAAATAAATCTTAAAAAAAAAAAAAAAAAAAGACAAGGTGGAAGCCGTGTGTGGAATGTTGTTCCTGAAAAGTCTGACAGTTTGCTGGTAAAGGGGGGAACTGGATGGCCGTGTTTCCAGGATGCAGAGAGCGAAAGGGGGTGAAGTTGGTGAGCCCCGGTGGTGGTGAGATCGGGGCTTGGAGGCAGCAGTGTTAAGAATGGGTAGGGAGATGCCAGCCAAAAGTCTTATTACTTCCTTAGTTGATTTTCTTCTGGAGGATATATCAAGTTTCTGAACATTTTTAAAGACTTGTATATTCAGCTTGCCCCAGTGTCACCAGGCCATGATGCAGTACAATGCCCAGATCCTAAACTGGGTCCCACAGACAAGTGTGTTCTTACGTCAGTCATGACGCAAGGCCAGGAAGCTTGGCTTCCTCTCCTCCTCGGAGGGGTGGGAGTCTGTGGCCCTGAGGCCGGAGCCCGGAGCCCTGCGCCGTGACTTTGAGCAGTGCCGGGGGTGGTTTGGGCACGGGGGTGATGCTGCTCCTTCTCTGCATGTCTCTCCGGATGCTGCTGGTGGAGGGATTGGCCTTGGCAGCGCTGCTCGCACTCACGGTGCCGGGCCGTGAGCACTGCTCTGGGGGTGACGGGGGGGCGGGGTGGACGTGATCGCATGGTTTCTTCTTGGTTTGCCCTGTGCTAGGAAGAGGGTGCAGACTCTTTGGTCAGGGGTCGCCAGTGGATTCCTGGCTGCTCCTCTTCTGATCCAGCTCCCTGCTAATGTGCCTAGGACAGCAGCAGCAGATGTCCCAAGTCCCTGGGCCCCTGCACCCATGTGGGAGACCCAGAAAAAGCTCCTGGCTTCAGTCTGGCCTAGCCCTGGCCGTTGGGGGCCATTTGGAGAGTGAATCAGTGGATGGAAGATCTCTCTCTCTCTCTCTCTCTGTCTCTCCTCCTCTCTAACTCTACCTTTCAAATAAATAAATAAATCTTTTTTTAAAAAAATGCCATTAGTTCATGAGTCAAGACTGGGAGAACTGAGGAAAAACAAAACATCTCACGTCGGTTGTTGGAAATCCGTGGTGATATGAAACTGTATTGTGACTGAACTCCGGTTTGGTTGCAGTGCACGTGGGTTAAGGGGCATTTTATTTGAAGGATCAACTGGGGCTTAGGAAAGAATCAGTCTTGAAATGTAGCCCAGTCTTGCAAATCCAATTCTTAATTGAACTTCCAGTTGTTTAATCACACCTGTCAGATCTTGTCACGCTCCCAGTGCCGTGGGAGTCAGCACTGATACCTGTGAGCGTCGGTCGGCTTGGACGGACCGAGGGTGGCTGCAGGCTGAAGACACCATAGTGGAAGTCAGAGTCGTGCTGTGCATTCTCGTAGTCACGTTTCTCGTTTTACGATGCCATGGAACATGCAGCACGTCTGTGCCTGTGTTCATTTCCTTTCTGTGTGGGAAATGCGTGCAGGTGCTCCCTGGGAGTTTCACATTGTTGTGATACATACATCTGTGTTATGAACATACATCTGTGTGTGTAGAACATACATCCCTGCATGTATAGAACATGCATCACATCTGTCCATGTGTGGAACACATTTGTATGTGTGCAGAACATGTATGACATCTCTGTGTGGAATGTGTCCCATCTCCATGTGTGGAACATGTATGACATCTGGCAGCACATACTTTACATTTGTGCATGTGTAGAACACATCTGTATGTGTGTGGAACATGTATGACATCTGTGCCTGTATGGAATATTCACTGTAGCTGCGTGTGTGTAGAACATAGTACATCCATGCACATGTAGAACATGGTATGACATGCGTGGAACATGTGTGACATGTCTGTGGAATATATGACATGCATGTGTGGAACGTACATCATATCTGAGCGTGTGTTACTTTCAGTTCCGTGTGGGCAACCCAAGTGGGTGCCCTAACATCTTGCTCCCCCTGGCCAACACCTGGCAGAGGTGACCGCTCTGGGCTTCTTTGTGACACCAGAGTCAGGGAAAGTAGCAGCAGAGCCGCGTGCGCGGGTGAGCTTGGCTTTCCTGCGCCGTGGACTTGCTCGTCTCTCAGGGCGGGTTCGTTTCCGATCTCACGCATCTGCGCTCTTGGCTCCAGGGCGGGGTGGAGGCTGCACAGGGCAGATGCGCGTGTGTGGCCGGCACAGAAGCTGCCGAGGCTCCTTTCTGCCTCGCGTTCTCCCCGTGGAGCCCAGCGTGTCACCGGGTGCCGTCCGCGCTGTTGAGCAGTGTGAGCCCCTCGTGCTGGGTATGCAGGCAGCCGCGTTCCTGCTCACACCCCCCCAGACAAACAGGGTCACCCCTAAAGGCGGGCAGCCCACAGAGTTTAGATCCTTTTTGTCAAGTCACCACCCTCTGACCCGGATGTAGCGACTGAGTCTTCCCACGGTGTGTGCTCCTTTTCCAGTGCACCGGGCCAGGGGCTTGGTTACACCGCTCTGTAGGCAGGGCTGTGCTCAGTGCTCCCTGCGGTCAGGAGTCCTGCCCTCGGGCCCAGGGCCGGGTTTCTCACCTCACCCGGCAGGTAGTTGGTGCTTGGCCACGCACGGCTGACAGTTAGTGCCTGTCTGGAGGCTGATGAGCAGTGCGGTGTTCAGTGCTTCCCTACACAGTGACGCGAGAACACAGTCAGCCTCGAGCAGATGGCCGCTGCTCGCAGTGGAGGTCCAGTCCCGCGCGCGTCTCTGGGGTGCACGTCTCTGCAAACAGCCCTGTGAGCGGGAGTGTCCCGGACGACCCCTCCACCCCCTCCTGTTCACGCAGGAGAAAGCTGGGGCCTGCGAGCCGGGGAGGAGTGGGCCCCACCTCACGGCCTGTGTTGCAGGGGGTCTGCGGCCTGCAGCTCCACACCCTCACCCCCCCCCCCCCCCCCCGGCAGCCTGTGGAGCTTTCTCTGTCTCCTGGGGGAGAAGTTGGCCCAGCCACAGCTGGAGCACTGGGGGAATCAGAGGGCCCGGTCGACTGTCTGCAGGTGTTGCAGCGACAGTTACCTCACCGATGGGACAGTCCTGTGCTGGGAAGGGAGGAGGAGGTGGGGGAGGAAGAGGATGGCCGGGGGGAGGGACATCCCTCCTGGCCAGGGAGTGTAGCAGAGGGCCGGCTGGTGCAGCAGGACACTGGCCGCATGTGCCGCATGGCGGGCGGGGATGAGGCTGGCATCTGATCCCATCTGTCCTGCTCACACCGAAAGCTCCATGTGCATTTCATGACAGGAGCAACACAATGCAATTTCTCTGTCACCTCCCAGCCAGCCTTTGAGATGGGGCAGGCCTCCCTCTCTCTCTCTCTCTCCCTCTCCCTCTCCCTCTCCCTCTGCCTCTCCCTCTCCCTCTCCCTCTCCCTCTCCCTCTCCCTCTCCCTCTCCCTCTCCCTCTCCCTCTCCCTCTCCCTCTCCCTCTCCCTCCCTCTCTCCACTGTGACATCGTTTCTCCTGGGTACCGTTGCCTTCCTGTTCCGCTCACTGCTCACCAGTGCTCTCCTGGCCATGTCACCGCTCTCCTGGCAGACACCGTGGACTCGCGTCCCAGCTGGACCAGCAGTGAGGACCGCTGTTCGTGCCCGGGCCGCACCAGGCCAGCGCTGTTAGGTCCTCTTCGTGCCGGGTCTCATGCTGTAAGCTGGGGATCCTAACGTCGCTCTTTCATAGATTTTTTTAAACGTCGAGGTGTAATGAGGGAGCCTGCTTGGTACTGCACAGCCGATGGATGGCAAGGCTGTGGTCTGAGTCGCCTTCTGCCAGACTCCACAGCCAGAGCTCTGGTGAGCTGGCCGACTCCACCCACATGAAGTAGCCGTGTGTGTCGTCAGCTCCTGGGACATCTCCTGTTGGAGAATGTGATGTCTGTTGTTGTTGTTGTTGTTGATAAAAGCTGAGGGTTTTTGACTTCAAGATTTTTGTTGTTGTTGTTCTGATGTTCAGTTAAGCAAAATTGGTCTGGTCTTTAAAATATGCGCTGAGAATTGTGTCTTTTTTTTAAATATTTATTTTATTTCAAAGACAGAGTTACAGAGAGAGGTAGAGACAGAGAGAAAGGTCTTGCATCTGCTGGTTCACTCCCAGATGGCCACAACGACCGGAGCTGTGCCGATCCGAAGCTGGGAGCCAGGAGCTTCTTCTGGGTCTCCCGTGTGGGTGCAGGGGCCCAAAGACTTTGGCCATCCTCCACTGCTATCCCAGGCCACAGCAGAGAGCTGGATCAGAAGAGGAGCAGCTGGGACTAGAACCGGCGCCCATGTAGGATGCTGACACTGCAGGCCAGGGCATTAACCTGCTGTGCCACAGCGCCGGCCCCGTGAATTGTGCTTTCTTATGTGCACCTTCACGATCCCAGTGCACAGAAGTCGCTCCGGGTGGCCCTGGTGGTGCTGGAGAGGACTGTGTGGAGGGCAGCTCTGCGTCTGGGTGTAGCTCATTCCATGAGTTCTAGGACTGCGGAGTGGGGGCTGCGGCGCATACAGGTCAATGCTTCATGCCTGGTTCTGAGGTTGCTTTGTTGCTGCCTGCTCATCTGACTCCCAGAAGGTTTTCCTCTATCCTCCCTAAGAGATGGAAATGGAAATGTTATCCTGACTGTGCACACATTCGAGAGAGAGAGAGAGAGAGAGAGACTCACTGGGGAGAGCGAGGGCTCACCTTGCTAAGATCATTGCAGATGAAGCTGCACAGAGTAAGAGAGCTGTCGGTCTGAAGCCTGCGACGTATGCTCCGGTTCACATCAGAAAATCCAGTCCAGCTGAAATGACTGGAGTTTAGTTCCCCGCCACAGCGAATGCAAAGGGGCCGGCCTGGGTGCTGTGCACGCCTCGGCAGCAGGCGGCGTGGCCCAGCCACGGCAGCCGGGGTTTGCTCAGGGGCCTGGTCTGGACCTCGTCGACTTCTTGCTCTCTCCTTTTCCCTTTCTCTTGTCTAGCAGTGACCAGAATCTTAGGAACCAAAAGTTTCTTCAAATGCAAGCCATGGCCGGCATCCTCATGTCTTGGCTCCTGTTAGGTTTGTATTTGATCAGTGTCAGCTTGCATCAGATGGAACCATCACAGCCGTGTGCACTGTGCAGGCCCCGCTGCTTCCTTGTCCTTTCCCTTCCTGGGACAGACACACCACCCAAGGTTAGCCCTGAGCACTTGGCTCTCCCAGCCACGTCTTAGCTCTCTCAGCAGCCTGCTCCGGCATCAGCAAGTGACCCAGCAGCCCTGTGAGGCTACCTCAGGCCGGCTCCCAGGCCCACTGTTCTTGTTCATGGCTGGCTACTTTTTTTTTTAAGATTTATTTTTTACTTATTTGAAAGTCAGAGTTACAGAGAGAGAGGCCTTCCATCTGCTGGTTCCCTCCCCAAATGGCTACAATGACGGGGGTTGGGCCAGGCTGGAGCCAGGAAATTCATCTGGGTTTCCCATGTGGATTCAGGGGCCCAAGCACTTGGGCCACCCTTCGCTGCTTTCCCAGGCAGGGAGCTGGATCCAGGTGGAGCAGCCAGGACTCAAACCAACGCTCATATGAGATGCCAGTGTTGCAGATGGGGCTTTAACCCACCACGCCTCAATGCCAGCCCCTCACAGCTGATTCCTAACCAGCCTACTCTTCCACTTCTGTTTCTGTAGCCAGTTTGAAAGCAGAAAGCTCAACAGGTGTAATTAGGTTTGTAAGTGAAAAGTTTCACATGACACACGTCCGTCTCATTCTGTCTGAGCCCTGGGTCTGTTTGACAGGTGTGTAAGTCGGCCCAATCCACAAAGGACACGAGGCCGCTGGCATCCTACGGGAAGGGGCAGTTGTCATGTCTTTGATGGACACGGGCTCTGCATAGCAGCTCGGGACTGAAAAACCTGCTGTGGAGCAGGTGGTTGAAGTGGGGCGCTGACGCTGTGTGTCATGTGCCGTGGGAATCCTGTCACCAGTGGCCTTGTTAGAAAGGTGACAGCAGGCACTGGAGCTGGTCTTGTTGTACAGCCCTGGGCCTCATGGGCAGGCTGCAGGTGGTTAGCACCAACTTGTTCCTTGCTCCCCTCTCTGCCTGAGACCTGGGACAAGAGGCACATGACAGCTGACAGCGGGTGACAGAGCCCTGCGCCGGCACTGGGGGGGGCCACGGCAGCCACACCACGGGAGTAGCGTGGACTCTGGGCCGCTCTGAAATCAGATTCATTTCACTCGGGCAAAAGCGCTCCAGCAGGTGCATCGGCCTATTGACACGCAGAGGACATTCCGGCTGGAAGCTGGTGTTTTGGGGAGAAAATAACTGAACAGAAAAAGACGGTTTTGAAACGACCAGTTGTAGACACAGCAAGCAACCAGTATTTCCCTTCTGAAAGACATCAACATTTTCTCCCTAGAAAAACACTCAGACACCAAGCAGCAGCTGCTCTGTGTTTTGCCAGTTTTATAACAGTTCATATGAAAGGACAGCACTGTTGAAAGCGAATCCACTACCGTGTGCTCATTTTGCCAAAACTTTGAGATGCAACAGTCAGTGTGCTTTTTTTTTTTTTTTCAAAGTATGACAGTACACAAAGGAGAAAAGTCTGCTCGATCATTGAGGAGGACAGTGCGGGAGCCTAGCTTGACTGCGAGGTCCTGGAAGGGCCGGGGTAGACACTGCTGAGCCCTGAGCGGCGTGGAGGCGGGGGTGAGGCAGGTGGGCATGGAAACAGGAGGCACTGAGCAACACCACCCTACACCACCGTGGTGCCTAACATCCAGAATCCAATCGGGCTTTCCAGAAAACCTGAACAGCTCCGGAGCTGAAGTTGGAGATGAGGGGACTTCAAAAAAGTAATTGGGAAAATGGAATTGAAAGGTAAGTTTATGTTGGTGTAAAAAACAAATTGAAATCCACGCCTGGTTTCTCCATGATGGAAATTTCCCGTGAACCTTGTGACGTGCACGTGCACATGCACGGGGCCTGTACTCCGCGTTTTCAGAGGCGCACGACGCTGTCCCTGTCCCAGTGCGTGACACAGGTGAGGCACATGCCCCTGATGCCCCTGCCAGTGGGGCAGGCCCCGTGAGACCCCGTGGCATGGGCAGCCAATCCACACTTGAGACAAAGCCCACTCCTCTCCCCACAGAGCTGGCCCTGCCTTCCGGGCAGCTGGACTTGTGCTTTGCAGGCTACCCTGAGGCCTGTAGCACCTGGGCTCTGGGGGAGAGGAGGCACCACGCATGCTCTTGTTTCTGGCGCCTGAGAAGGAGGGGAGAGCCCCCCAGAGGGTACCCTAGGCCCAGACAGTGCTGCTGAGTTCCCAGGACATGAAACAGAGCAGTGCAGGCGGCCAGGACTGAGTTGTGGGAAGGAAGGCAGCCGGCCCAGGCCACTTGGAGAGTGAGGAGTGGGCTCGAGGCTGCAGCATGCTCCGCACCTGCGGCGTGCGAGGCCTTCCAAGGAGGCGCCTGCCAAGCTGATGGTGCTGAAACTCTGGGAACAGGCGCGTGCTTTTGAGCCCTGCAGTCCCCACCTGCCCACCGAGCTCAGGAGTAATCACCTTGTTTTTTTAAAGCAAACTGCAGAAGGCATCTGTGTGCCAGACCCACACTGGACAGGAGCATCTTCTCCGAAACATCTGCCAATGGCCACGATAACAAGGCCTTTTACAGCTGGAGTGGGGGTGAGGCTAAAACAAAGCCCGAGTCCCCCCGCCCCCCGCCTTGCTGTGTGGACAGGCAAAGGGCCCTTTTACTGCTGGACAGCCTCGGCTTCCTGAAACCATCCGTGAATGGCTGACTGTGTGTGGATGGATTCTATCAGTAGTTGCTGGTTTCAGCGCTCCAGGTCTACTTTAGCCTTTTGTGTGGTTATGTCGTCCCTTGAGACTCACCGTTCCGTTCGTTTCGTGTCAGCCACCCTCAGTTAAAAGGAAGGTGAAGAGCCGAGCATACCTGCTAGTGCACAGGCATCCATGGAGGGGGCTCGGTCGGGGTCAGCTTCCTGCCCGTGCGCTCACGGGAACACAGAGCTTGAAGGGGCTGACTGAGCAGCAGCTACTTAGGCTCCAGGTCTCTACGTCCTCTGTGCATGGCCCTAGACTGCCAGCATTTTAACCTGTGGGCTGCTTTCTAATAGTTTCTCTGCCTCCTTTCCTTAATTCTTTGGAAAGCTTGCCGAGTCACCCCTGTCTCGTGCTGGAAGCTGTGTCTGTTGTCACCTCACCAAATCTTCATAGCAAGGTCTCCTTTGTGTCACTCTGCGGTTGTGGGTCGCAGTTAAATACATTTTGCAGCTGTGATGATCCGTTTTCCCAAGTCCCAGAGGTCATTTTGCCAGATGTGGCTCAGAAGGAGCCCGATGTCCATGGGAAGAAGATGCTGGAGTCATACTGTGTCATGAAATGACAACTTTTTTTTTTTTTTAAATCCAAGGCAGTCTGAGAGGAATTTGTTTTGATGGAAGAATTGTCTTTTTGGTTCCTGGTGATGGCGACAGAAGGTGGGAACCAGAGCAGCCCTAGTCCATACTGATTGGAGGATGGTGCCCTGTCTGGGATGATGCTACTCTTAGGGCACTAGGCCTGGTGCGCGGGAGGTGCTTTTGTGCAGAATAGAGCAAGGCCTCCCTCTCTCTATGGATGGCGACAGCCTGGTACCAGTGTGTGTGGCTCAGGAAGTGGAGTACCAGCTGGCGGCCAGCTCCTGGTGCACCCTGTGCCTTGCACAACCTGGCAGCTCTGTGACGACTGTGACGGTTTTGTGTGTGTGTGTGTGTGTGTGCACTCACTGGAATGGGCTTGGTTGGGAAAGCCACAATATTAAAGGAGAGAAGGTAGCAGAGGGACACAGGTACAGAACAGAATGGTAGGTTGGCAAGTGGAGAACAAAGAAATTATTCCAGGCGCAGGTATTTGGCAGAGTGGTTAAGACTCCACTTGGGACCTCTGTGTCCCATGTCAGAGTGCATGGGTTCGAGTCCTGGCTCCGCTTCTGACTCCAGTTTCCTGCTAATGTGTACCCAGGGAGGCAGCACATGATGGTCCTTGTACTTGAATCCCTGCCAGCCACATGGGAAACCTGGATTGAGGCCTGGGCTCCTGGGTTTGGCCCCAGTCCAGCCCTAACTATGATGGGTATTTGAGGAGTGATCTAGTGGATAGAAAATCTCTCTCTGCCTTTTAGAGAGAGAGAGAGAGAATATGAATCAATCTTGCATTTGCTGATTCACTCCCCAAATGTTTGCATTTGGGCTAGGCTGGAGCCAAGAACCAGGAAATGCATCTGGATCTCGTATGTGGGTGGCAGGGGCCCAAGCACTTGGGCCATCTTCCGCATTTTTTCCCAGGCCATTAGCAGGGAGCTGGATCAAAACTGGAGCAGCCAGGACTTCATCCAGTACTCATACGGGATGTCAAGCCAGCCTCAATAAATAAATTTTTTTTTTTTTTTTTTTTGGCAGGCAGAGTGGACAGTGAGAGAGAGACAGAGAGAAAGGTCTTCCTTTGCCGTTGGTTCACCCTCCAATGGCCGCCATGGCTAGCGCGCTGCGGCCGGAGCACCGCACTGATCCGATGGCAGGAGCCAGGTACTTATCCTGGTCTCCCATGGGGTGCAGGGCCCAAGGACTTGGGCCATCCTCCACTGCACTCCCGGGCCACAGCAGAGAGCTGGCCTGGAAGAGGGGCAACCGGGACAGAATCCGGTGCCCCGACTGGGACTAGAACCCGGTGTGCTGGCGCCGCAAGGCGGAGGATTAGCCTAGTGAGCCGCGGCGCCGGCCTAAATTAATATTTTTAAAAAGGGAAATCATGGAGCCGGTGCTGTAGCATAGTGGGCAAAGCTGCTGCCTGCAATGCCGGCATCCCCTCTATGGGTGTTGGTTCGAGTCCTGACTCCTTATTTCTGATCCAGCTCCCTGCTAATGGCCTGGGAAACAGTGGAGGATAGCCCAAGTGTTTGGACCCCTGCCACTCGCATGGGAGACTCAGAAGAATCTCTTGGCTCCTGGCTTCAGTCTGGCCTAGCCCTGGCTATTGCTGCCTTTTGGGAGTAAGCCAGCTGATGGAAGATCTCTCTCTCTCTAACTCTCTTTCTCTCTCTCTTTCTGTAACTCTGACTTTCAAACAAATAAATACATCTCTTTTTTAAAAAGGAGAGATTATTCCAGAATTGGAGGGGAGGGAGAAGGAGTGGTTGCAGCTGGCCCCTGCTCGATTTAGGGTCCCCGTACCCCCCTTGTTGCTCGTAGCCCCGTCCCCTGGAACCCATGGCCAGAATCCAAGTCATGTTCCAGTCGCTACCGCGCTGCTGCCGCGTGACCTTGCCTCTCGCCGGCCTTGGATCCCCTCCCCGCGGAGCCTGGAGCAGGGCTTGCTCAGGGCCTACTTGAGCATGTTCCTGGGCTCCCAGAGCTTTCTGAGCAGAGGAGTTGGAGGCTCTGGGGCTCTGATGTTCTCCCCTGGGCTCACACACGAGCGCCTCCCCTGCCCAGGTTTCCTTCAGCCAAGGCGGGCTGAGCCGGTCCTTGGTCTCTGAGGGCAGCGTTGTCTCTGCTCCCGTACTGTCCAGTTCCCCTGTGGAGTGCAGATGTGCAGAGGAAGGGCGAGAGTGCGGTCATAATAACAAGAAAGCAAAGCACGGAAGCAGATGTGTGTCGGCTGCGGAGAGGCCACTGTGCCGTGATGGGGCCTGTTGACGAGCTGCATACACGTCGTGGTGGCCTTGACTCTTTCCATCCTAGGGAACATTACTGATCACTCATTATTATCACCAGATTCACGGAGGATTTTGCTACCGCGATTAGTAACTTGCTGGAGTTCAGAGGTGAAAGAAACCACAGTCGATTTTTCATCCGTTCCTCTTATTTAGATAGCACTTTCTCTGCTGAGTTCTGTTTCCTAAAATTCTAGGAGATTAATTTGCATTTTGAATGCTACAGTAACCACCCCACCTCCCTTTGGCAACTCTAAGTGTAAAAGGCTGGCACAGATCAGTGCACACTTGAGGTCGTGTTACTGGGGTGACTGCAGGATAATGGGCGGTCTAGATGGCTCTGACGTGGGAACAGATGAGCGTAGCGTCTTAAGTAGCAGAAGAAAGGGGACTGATGGCTGCGCCCGTGGACTTGGAGAAGTTTCGGCCTGGGATCGGGACGGGTTCAGAAGTGTCCAGAATGTCCTGGGCTGGCCTCGGCGTTCGCTTGAACAGGCTGATTTCATTCAAAAGGCTCGACTTTGCAGGTAGAGGATTATGTCTTTCAGTGAAGTACGGAGATGAGTGTCTTAGATTCAGGGAAAAGCGGGTTCTGGGAGTCATTTCCTGGTCGGTGACCTGGTGCGGTCCACGTGGTGAATTAGCTGGAGTCCCCTCATTCAGAAGGGCCGCCGTGATTTTGCCCTCTGTGGGTGTTTTTAAATCTCATTAATAGCTTCCTCTGAAACTCAGCTGTGAATCGCTGCCCTTGAGAGAGGAGTCAGCTGCTGCAAGGCCGGGGGGGGGGGCGGTTCTTCCAGCATAAGGTGACGTGGTTTTCATTCCCTGCCTTCTAGAAACTGAACTCACAGGCAAGTTCCACCCATTGTAAGTTGTTGGAATCCCGTTTGCATTCGTAAGTTGCAGGAGCACTTCAGAATCTAGGTAATACATTTTATGTGTAATAGTTTAATTCTGTAATAGTGTACACAGAAGAGAATGCTTGACTACATTGGTGCAAGGCTTGTTTCATTGTATTTTAGCAAGCTCATCTTTGCTTCGTTGTGAGACTCATAAAAGCATTAGTGTGTAAATAGTTGAATCAGAGTGTAGAGACCAGGCCCTCGTGCCCACCTGCTGTCCCCCTTTGCACCCTGCCTGGTCCCCCATGCTGCGTGGGACCCTTACGTGGCCCCAGCTGCACCACCAGTGGTTGCCCACTTGCCAGGTGCACCCTCCTGCAGGGCTCGGCCTGGCTGGAGGCCTTGGCGGGAGCAGGCAGCCCTAGCCCGCCACACCGCTGGCTGTGCTCAGCTCCACCCCCCCTCAGGGCCTGCACACGAGATCCACGGGCCAGATGTGCTCACCCCAGAGGGCGGCTTTGTGCTTCCTGGGCCCACGCCCCACAGTGTGCCTTAGGCACGAGGCCCCCTGGCTCCTAGATGCAAACCTAAACGCCTGTGCAGACCTGCCGTTCGATAAAGTCGAAGTGACGGCCTGACGAAGTCTTGGTTCTGCTTGTCTTTTACTTTAAAGGTAATGACCGAGCTTTTCTTCCCCCCTTCCTTAGCAGTGTGGCCCAGAAGCAGTTGCCCTTCGGTAGAAAGCAGACCGAGGTCAAATCCAGGCGAGGCGGCTGTCTGTGGGGACAGGGGAGGGGGCACCTTGATGGTGGGGGGCCAGCAGCCGTGCCCAGTGTGGGCGAGGAGGTCCTGGGTGCGTGTGGGCTGCAGCCTGACGCTTGCGGCGTTGGAAGCCACGTTGAGCGAGTGGTGTGTCGCTCTGGGACTGGGGGCTCAGTTGCAGTGATGGGAGGGAGGTCAGTCATGGCAGGAGGAGTGGCTGAGACATGAAGATACCTCGGGTACTGGGTATCACGTTTCTCGCTGCAGAGAAGAGAAGCAGAAACGCAATATGGAAGGGGAAACGTGAAACTGAACGCTGCGGGGGTACTTTCAAATCGGGGCTGTCAGCATGAACTCCCGCCAGACGTGAGCGTGTGTGTGTGTGTGTGTATATGTGTGTGTCTGTGTAAGGGTCTGAAGACTTCTGTGACTTCCCTGGTCCTTGGCCCTGAGCTGTAGCAGCCAGGAGCACCCCTGGTGCCCAGATCGTGGCTTCTAAACACCACTGTGCTCCGAGAGGAGCCAGGGCTCCGTGGAGAGCTGGCTGACTGCAGGGCCTGGTGGGAGAGCACACAGCCTGCTGATGGCGTTGCGCCAGCAAGTAAGGACATGCCAAGAGAGGACAGCGGCTGTCCAGAGGGCTCCGCAGCCGCATTGCAGGAGCGCCCCCGGCCAGGCTGGACAGGGCCAGCATCAGATGGAGTCATGAGACTCCCCCAAGAGAAGCACTGTCCACACCATGCAAGGAGGGGCTCGGCACTGCCGCACAGCCTGGGTCTCCAGGGCCGGGGGCACCTCCTCGCTGCTGCTGGGTGTGCAGCATCACACAGTGCTCCCAGTGCGCACAGGGCGGTTTGCAGAGACTGGCCCGCAGCTGAAGAAGCTCCCAGCCCCACAGCTGTCTCAGGAAAGGCGAGAGGGCCACGGCTGCGTTTAGGATGGGTATTGAGACGGTTCTGCTGTGTGCAGGGACGGACATCGCCACTCGTCTTGCTGTGCTCCCTGGGTGACCCCCTCCCGTGTAGATCTACAGCAGTTCCTAAGAAACCGGATGCATTGGACTTCGGATCTTTACCATATACCTACAAGACCATGTTTTTTCCAGGCAGGCCTATGTTGGATCTCTTTCATTCATTTGCATTTTGTTCACAGTCAGTATCATTTTGTCATCCTTTAACTAAAATACTCGATAACTTTATGTATTCTAGGTAAACAGTTATAAGGTTAAGATTTTAAAAACCAGATTTAAAAAAAAAAAAATTGGTTTACTAGATTTGTAGTTAGTTCAGGTTGAAACAGTGAAACCTGATCGGGCCTGGGAGTGTGCTCTCTGCTGCTTTGTAGGAACAGGGGCAGCCAGAGCACTGTGGGCTGTGGGGGAGGGGAGGGAGCAGGGTGGGGTGGCAGTGTTAGGGGCGTGCGCTCGAGAGGCAGGGGCACAGGGGCCGTCATCCATGGCCCAGGCTCCATCTCAGGCTTTTCCCAGCGGGTGATCAGAGGGCCCCTTCCTTCCTCCCACTTGACTTCCTGTCCCCAGGGTATCTTGTCTGTTTCACGTCTAAGGAGACTGAGACAAGGCTCAGTGACCCGGTTTCAGATTGTCTCTGCCTCAACGTTTAGTAGCAAATATTGCTTTATTGTCACCTCAACGTTTAGTAGCAAACATTGCTTTATTGTCATCTCCTGAAAAACGCTGAGTGACGAAATGTTAACCTGCTCCAGAAATAGGTAATAATGCAGGGAAGAATATTAATATGCTTACTGCAGTGCCTGGGCAAATCGCCCCATACGTGGGATTGTTAGGGAATCTGTGAGGGTGCGCGTTGTTCCTCAGGGGAGCTGAGACCCCTGGCGCGATCCCTTGTGCACCGCGTGTGGGGCGCGTCCGCCGGGCTGGCGGCTCCGGAGCCCGTCCTCAGTCACCTCGCGTGTCCTGTGAGGCCCTGTCCCAACAGGGACCCGCCTGCCTTGCTGGGAGTCAGCACCGGTGTTGGGTCTTGTTTCCGGGAAGTTGTTGATTTCTCCCACTGATGGAAAGGGATGTCAGTGAGTCCTTGACCAGTGTTTGCTCTCGTCCCCGCTTCTCCTCCGTGTGAGGTCACCCGCCGGCCGATGACGCCCTTGGCCGTCGTGGCGCCCATGGGAGCAGGCCGGGATTCCAGAGAGGGCTGCTGGAGCGAGGCTAGTGGGATTGGCAGAGGGGGAGGGCGTCACGGGGGTCGTGGGAGAATTCAAGGGCAGCTGGGCCTCTTGTCCTTGCTGGGTCCCAGTGGGAATCTGTTCCGGTCTCCTCGCTCTGGCTGTTTGCTCTGTGTCTCAGCTGGGCTGTGGCCGGGCCTCCCAGACTATGCTGCTGGCGTTTCCATCTCCTCTCCTACACTGAGGGGTGGCGGTTATCGCTGTGTCGCCTCGGCCACCATCTAGGGCCAGCCCCGGCCTCAGGTTGCCAGCGCGGCTGTGGTCACGCCCGTGGGCAGGGGCTGGCAGGGCAGGCCTGACCCCTCGGGGCAGCAGTGGCCCCAGCGGTGCTTGTTGACGGAGCATCGTCACGTTCGGAGCAGTTCCAGATCTTTCAGCTGCAGAGCAGCCTGGAAGATGGATGTTTTCATTTCCTTAGCGCATTGCTAATTCATAAGCATCTGCCCTGCAGACGGGAGCTGTCTGCCTGCTGCTTTGCTCATTCCACGCCTGCGTGGAAGCCTTGGGGAAGACGGCGGAGGAGAGGCCGTTCTGCAGCGCTCGGGCAAGAGTGTGTCCTATTTTGAGATGAGGGGGTTGGGGCTCCTGTGCCTCCTTTTACTTGCTTGCTTGCTTTGATTCACTTTCATTAGCTGTGGTAATTATAAAGAATCAAATTCAGAGAGTAGTTTAACTCTTGGTCCTTGAAATTTGCTTCTGCTTCTGTTTTAGTGGGATTTTCACCCCCTCTCGTTTTCTGTGTCTTTCTAGTTGTTTAGTGGAATATCAGAAGAGGTTGCACTAGGAGCTGTGGATGGAAAATCTGTTAAATTGAATTGAATACGTTTTAAGGATTGGAAGTTCTGGTTTAACTTTTGTTCCCTAGAGTATTACATCAAGCAGACGGTCGTCATACAAGCTCGCGTTTTTCTCAGCCCTCTGGTTTGTCAGCATCGACTGCGAATGATCGTATTTGGAGTGTTAGGACCGTGATAAACGATTCTGGGCCAGGAAACGTGGGAAGCAGCGCCAGGGTCCTGAATTTCCAGCAGCGTCAGATAACTGTTTGTTGGGTTATTAAACCCGATAGAATGAGAGTGACGCTGTCATTGGGTGATATTACCTGGTCCGTATTATATCAATGCACAGTAGCACCCAAGTGCAGAGAGCTGAGGGAAGAGTGTAAGTAATGGGAGCCACAGAAAGTACAGGAGCTGGCGCTGTGCGGCAGGTTAAGCCGGCGTTTGAGACGCGGGCACCCCACACCCCTCACCGGTTTGAGTCCCAGCTGCTCTGCTTCCCATCCAGCTTCCTGCTAATGCCCTTGGGAGGGCAGCAGGTGATGGCTCAAGTCCTTGGGCCTCTGCTACCCATGTGGGAGACCCAAAGAAGCCCCTGGCTCCTGGCTTCAGTCTAACCCAGACCTGGCTGTTATGTTACGGCCATTCGGGAAGTGAACGAGCAGATGGAAGATTTCTCCATTTCTGCCTCTCCCTTTCACGTTGACAACTCTACTTGTCAAATAAATAAATAATTTTTTTAAAAAATGCAGATACCAGTTTATTATTAACCTCTTCACTTTGCAGTGAAATGTCCACATGTTGAATTTTACTGAATTTTAGATCCAGTTGGTTGAAGATTCTTCAACTTGGAACTCACATCAGTGGGACCATTTCCCACCTTTCCTTAACTGCTTTCGGCACTGGAAGCCACCAATGAGGTCAGAGTGCAGCATCACAGTCACAGTCCACGCGGCAGTGTCCACCGCAGTGTTCACGGAGCATTGTAAACATTTGTATTCAGTGTGATTTTTTTTGTTAACTCTTTTATGAGGTTGATAGAATTAAATATTTAAGAGTTTATGAATTCAGCCACTTAATTATCTTCCCATGTTGCAAAATAAGCATACCCAAAGTTGACTTAAAACACATAGTTGGAGTATGACTTGTGTATGGATAGGCACACACTAGTATGTGCATAGCATTTGTCTTGGTGTAGCTCTGTGCACAGAGGGAAGTTGTGGTGTAATGAGTGCATGGAGGAGACCTGACTTCCAGACTTCAGTTACAATGTAAGTAGTAACTTTCCCAGCAGCTCAAAGCCCTTGTGTTCAAATGCTCAGGAGGAATAAAGGAGACAGGGTACCTGGACTCCCGGCCGGCGTTGGGTGCTGTGTGTGTAGCGCATGTGTGCACCTGCCTTCTGTCTCCGACTTCTGTTTCTGCTAAGTGCAGTAGCCACAGCGGTAACAGTTCTGATTCTACTCTGTTGTTTCTGCCAACTTTTACTAATAAAGCCATACTTTGGCATGTTTACCTTTTAAGTTTTTTTGTTTGTTTGTTTGTTTTACTATGGATTCATGTTTCTTAGAATTTTATGAAGGCATTTCAAAATGTTCTAGAAAAGTGTCATTAAAATAACTTACTTTGATGTGAAAATGTTTGAAATGCATGCATATGTGGGTATCTTCCAAAAAGTTCATAGAAATGCCTATTATGAAAAAACTATGCATGAATTTCAAAAATTTTTCCCCAAAACAAACATCTTTTACTTCCCTTCTCCCACCTACTATCTGAAGTGCCCTTGTGTTGCAAGGGTTCTTTGAGGCAAGAGTCGAGGACGGGTTCTTCCAGAGCAGGTTGCCTGTGCTTCTCGAGGGTGACCGGGGCCATTCCCGACCCCTGGGGCCACGGAGACTCAAGGCTCAACTTGGGCTTCTCGGGGACCTCGAGTTACTGGCCACAGCTCTGTCAGGGCTGGCTCTCATTGTTGAGTTCTTGGAGATACACGAATCGCCCCCCATTCACTGAGTGCCAGGATTTGAGGCAGGCAGCAGGTTTTTTAAGATTTATTTATTTATTTATTTGAAGGTCAGAGTTAGAGAGGGAGAGAGAGAGAGAGGTCTTCCATCTGATGGTTCACTCCCCAATTGGCCACAGTGGCCTGAGCTGTGCTAATAGGAAGCCAGGAGCCAGGAGCTTCCTCCAGGTCTCCCACGCAGATGCAGGGGCCCAAGGACTTGGGTCGTCATCTACTGCTTTCCCAGGCCATAGCAGAGAGCTGGATGGGAAGTGGAGCAGCCAGGACTTGAACGGACACCCATATGGGATGCCGGCACTACAGGCAGTGGCTTTACCCGCTACGCCACAGTGCCGACCCCTCTCCCCGTGTTTCTGACAGCCTTCTGAGACTGTGAAAACTGAACCTAAGTCAACCCCCACTCCAGCAAGTCCCCCCAGGGCAGGGACCTCTTGTCCCCTGCTTACTCTGATGGGGAGTGGGGAGAGGGAGGTCCTGCCATCACTTAGTCTTTGAGCTCTGATCTCCTTAATGAACAGGCACGTCGTAGTTGTGTTTTTAATGTCTCATCCAACACTGTCCGTTTTCAGTGGGAGCAGTGAATCCAGAAAGAAAAGTCCTCGCTTCTCCTGAGCTCTTCTTTCCGTAGCCAGGCCACTTGCACTGCAGGGGCTGGGACGGCCCACAGAATTAATGTTGGGAACACATCCAGGCCCTGCTTGATATTCTGCTCACCGCTTGTTCAGGGTCCCACTCTAGTCAGACAGCTCTAATCTTTAGAGCCTTTTTTCCCCTACACTGAGCTAAATTCTGTCTCCCCTCAATCTCTCCCGGTTGTTTAATGTTCTCCCTTTTCCAAATGGCCTTTCCTTCCCTGCTTCCATCCCGCTCCCTCGTGTGGATCGAACGCCCTCAGCGTCTCCAGCCGCTTCTCCAGGCAGCGGCGTTTCTGATGAGTCCCCTCAGTCTGGCATCGAGTTTTTTGGTTTTTCAGGAATTTCATCTCATAACTACTCATAATACCCCAAATAGGGCACGGCCGTGGCTCATCCAAGTGTGTAGACTGGCCGGGACCCTCCTCTCATGCTCTCAGCGTCTTTCTGTCATAGCCCTGTGGCACATTTCCATACAGATGACAGAGCCAGTGGTCAGTCGTCCCTGCCCCCCGACCTGCTACCCCCAAACCCAATCTTTTTCGTGTGAATGGTTTTAAGCCAGATCTTTATTGTAAAATTATGGATAACATGCCTTCACCAAACGAAAGTAAAATATATGCTATTATAATGATGCATTTTTAAAAAATTACTTGAGAGGCAGAGAGAACTCCCTTTTGGTTGACTCCCCCGGATACCCGCAGTGGCCAGGAGGACCAAGCTGAAGCTGGGAGCCAGGAACTCAGTCCAGGTCTCCCGTGTGAGTAGCAGGAACTCAGTTATTTGAGCCATTGCTGCTGCCTCCAAGAGCCTGCATTAGCAGGAAGTTGGAGTCGGGAGCTGGAGCTGGGATCTGGCCCTGTGCTGTGAACTGGAAGCGTCTTAGTCTCTAGGCCAAGCACCACCCTGGGTGTGATTCCTGTTTGAGTGGACATGTTAAGGCCCTGACACGATTCTGTCTATCTTTACTTAAGAGTAATTTCCTTGAATAGAAAATTAGAGAGAATCTGGAGAGCTCCCAAGTTGTTTAAAAAACCTATCACTTTGATTTTCAACGTGTTGTCCATCAGTTCTGCCTGCAGAAGTTGGTAGTCACTCAGCGATAATTGGTCATAACCAAATCTGCTGGATTCGTGTGCCTCGTGGTTACTTTGACTGTGAAAGATTATGTTTTACAGAGGAGTTCCATGCTCTATCTCTAACGGAAGAGATGAAATTTCTTACCTTTTACGTCAGTTGCTGTTTTATGCTGAATGCATCAATTAGCTATCCTGCTGATTTCAGTCTTATTGTACATAATATAGTAAAAAAAAAAAAATCCCTTAGTTGCAATTTAGATTTTTTGCCATAAATGTTTGTCAGAGGCAGTGAAAGTCACAGTTAAAGGCGTTACTGTTCTTAATTCATTGACACAGGACTCTGCTCTCTTCTCGAGTTAAACCTGAGTCCACGAGTGCTTTTCAGTAGCCTCCCTGTTGCATTTCCTTCCTTTTGGCTGTAGGGATACACGGCTGCACAGGCTCGCCATGATTACGTGCGTGATGAGAATCGTTCTAAACTGCACACGATGACTTTGGCATCTAGTTAATGCATTACCGCGATGACTAATGAAGCCACTAGAGCAGGGACTCAGCCCTGGAGTGTGTGTCAGAGCCAGGAGAGGGACGCCTCCGTGCCTCTGAACATCTTTGACAGAGACATTTAACCAGGAAGAGCTGTGGGTTGAAAGTTATTTCAAGGTTTACGAGAAAAGATGTGTTCAGTGAGTTTTTACAAAACTTCTTTTCTGGAAATAAAAGTGGTTAGAGTCCCAAGTTAGGGAGGTAGATGAAAGCTTCCTAGATGTGATTAAACCAACTCAGGCAGTAAATTAAACATGCTTTATTGTTAATGGTGAAAAATGTTTCTTTCATTGGTTTTGATTAGAAGCATGAATTAACTCGGAGTCCTACCACATATTTTTCAGAGAGGGCTTTTTATGCTACCGTCTGTTAGTGAGCTGGAGATAGAGCTTTTAAATCTAAATTCATCTTCATAAAAGGGCTAAAATAATGAAAAACATGAGCTATTACACCACAAATAATATTGATTGCTGGCCTTGCTCTGTGCATTCCCTAAGTGCGAAGCAGCCTGGAAAGAGGAAGAACGTCTGTGCGTTCTTTCTTGGAAACGAGAACAGGGAAATGATCCTCAAAGAAAGCGTGTGTCGGAGCCACTGCTTTTACAAGTCCTCAGTGGAGTGAGCAGGAGAGCACCTCACTGCCTGCCTTGGTTTAAGTCGTCTGAGTGAGGCAGCTGTGGCCCAGGTAGGGCCTGGCGGCAAAGGGGAGAGTAGTGCCAGGCACTCTCTACGTCTTGCTTTTTAAACCTGCCTGTATTAGCACTGCTGGCAGCGCCTGTAATGAGTGCCTCCCTGTCTGTCTTCCCATCTGACTTGCAGGAGTTTGCTCCTGCAGCAAAACGCATGGGACTCTTGGTCCCCAGTGTTAGGCCCCCGGTAAACAAGCACCCCTGAAAACATGTGGTGACCCAAGACGGAAACAGCTTAGGTAAAAGTGAGAAATATCTCCCGAGAGAAGAACAACGAGGGAAAGGAGTGTGTGAGGATCGGGTTCCTGTGTGCTGGACTGGATGGTGGAAGGGGTGACACAGGGTGCTCTGCGCACCTCTGCACTGCGAGGGCTCAGCAAGGACAGGCACGTTTTGCTCTTTCTTCCCCTGGTGTTCACTGAGTGTCTTCATGGCACAGGCACCATGAAATGCAGTAGAGGGACAGGAGCAAGGGAGGGAGACAAAAATCTGCCGTCGCGGAGTTCGCCTTCTGTTGGAAGGACTTAAAAATGACCCACACCAAGGCACTTCATTGTGATGTTCAAAACACCGTGGATGGAGAAAATGGAGTAAAAATGTTTAAGAGAGGAAAATAAGGTTATGTTTAAGAGATCAATACTCAAATAGCATTGATCCTCTTGGTAATGAAATTATATGCTCCTTTTTAGAGGAAATGCCTTCTAACCCACAGTTCTATACCCAGCCAAACAGTCAAGTGCGAGAGAACTCCACTACTGTGGATCCGCTGCACACAATGAGGGAGTAAAACACAAGAGGAAGATGTGGGATGGACGCAGGAAATAAGGAGACAGCAGAAGGAATGGAGGGGGTGGGAGGTGCATGGCCCACTCAGGCTGGGGGGCCAGGGGCTGGGGTTCTGGAAGGAGCAGCTGTGGTGGGAGGGTTACAGAGGCCAGGATCCTGGGAGCTCCGTGATGACCCCCTGGGCTCCTGTTCAGAGCAGTTGTACCACTGTGACAGAAGGTATAGAGGTGAATTCATGCTGGAAACCTAGGGGACTATCCGCAGTGTCCTAGCCAGCTCCAGGAGAAAGGAAACAGGCATGGCGGGGAGAGTGGCCAGCATGGAGACACTGGATTCCAGCTGCAGGATGGGGGTGTGTATCTGTGAGGGGCACCGAAGCCTTAGGAGTACGTCCCTGGAAAATCAAGGCAGAGCAGCTCGGAGGACCAGGTGGCCCCACACCAGCCTGCCGAGGAAGGCTGTAATTCCCACTCCCGTGTGGCTTAAGGTACAGGACAGGGAGCTGCCATTCAGGAGCGCGACCTCTCGGAGCCCTTGGCTGTTCACACCTGTGGCAGTCGGTCTCTGAGGCGGCAGGGAGGAGAGGTTATTAAGGGGAGGTTCCTGGGGAGCCACCCCAAGACTTCCAGAGTGGACACTGGTTTAATATATCCCTTCTGGACGCTCCTGCCTATCACACGTGTGGGGAAGGGTGGCGGTGTTTGCTTCGTTGCTTGTGTTGTGGGCACTGACGTTGACCAGGAGGTCTGGGGTGTGACTGCCCACGGGGCGCCTGCAGGCGGGAGGGCACCCTGGGCCAGTGCTGTCCTCCCTCCGCTTCTTCCTCCCAGAGGTGGCTGGAGTCCCACCACTGATTATGCCATTTCCACTGGGCTGGATGGAGAAATCCTCAACTCGAATTTCATTCGCTTGAGATGCTTTTGGAACGAGTTATGAAATCACGTACTTGCCCCGCGGCCGTGATGTGTGTGCCGTCAGTTGGTTGAGTGCGACGGCACAGCGCCCAGGTCATTTTACCTTCTCTAGCTGAATCACTTTTCCTGGTCTGTGGTGGAGATAAGATTCTGAGAAATGTTAAAAAGCAGGTGCTGATGCCAGTGACTGGATTGTTAGAAATATGCCTCTTCACTAGCAAGAAAGCACTGATAGGCCGGGCCTGCGTGAAAATCCAGGGTGAGTGCAGAGATTGAATGAGGAATGTCTGCACCACTCTCTCCCAAGTTGAAACGTTCCATCTCCCAGCTCTTAAGGACAACTCAGGTTCTGACTGATGCTGAGATAAGCCTTTAGTACGAGTTTAGGGTTAGGGCTAGGTTAGGCTTACATCATCAGAGTTCCTCCTTGATGCAGATTGCTGCATTTCTTCCTAGAATAAATGAAGCCGCAGTTCGCCCAGGCTCTGCAGTCCGATGTACAGACTGAAGTGTGCCAGATTAACCAGCTTAGATATGGGGCCAGGCTGTTGTGCCATCTAAAGATGTTGTTGAAAAATGTGCTTACACTAAGTGTTTCTAAGAGATTGCAAAATGTTATAGATACTTAAAATTTACGATGAACATACAAAATTATCAACTACAGCAAATCCTCAGCGTGTGTATCAAGTGCCCGTGGAGTGGATTCATAGTTGGCAAGGTGGGGGATCCCCTGTCTCAGAGACTGGAGACTTTGAAGCCTTCTTCTTGTCCAGCGTTATGGGCAGATGTCTTCTTCCAAGTCCTGCTTCTTCATCTATAAAGATGAGACTCACCATGGTTTGATTCATCAGAGTACCACCTCTTACTGCACTGATAGGTGTTTGGAACCGAAGGGCTCCCACGGCGGCCGTGGACTGATCAGGTCTGCATCACAGAGACTTGAGGAAGGGACATGGTTCGCTCCTCAGCAGGTGGAGGTGGCCTCTGCCGCCCACTGCCCCGCGCTCTGTGACGCCCCCTTGGGGCATCATTTTCTTTTCCTTTTAAATATTTATTTATTTGAGAGGCAGAGTCACAGAGAGAGGGAGAGACAGAGAGAAATGTCTCCGTCCACTGGTTCACTTCCCCAGATGGCCGCAACAGCTGGAGCTGCGCCAATCTGAAGCCAGGAGCCAGGAGCTTCCTCCAAGGTCTCCCATGTGGGCGCAGGGGCCCAAGCACTTGGGCCGTCTTCTGCTGCCTTCCCAGGGAGCTGGATCAGAAGTAGAGCAGCAGAAACACAGACTGATGCCCATAGGGGATGTCGGCGCCTCGGGCGGAGCCTTAGCCTAGTATGCCACAGCGCCAGCCCTCCACGGGGCATCTTTCAACAGCTGTCACCCTTACACAGGTTGTTATTTGTGCCCAAGTCAATTCCCCTCTCCCGAGTCTTCTGTTATTGGTTTTGAAACTGCCAGAGCAAAATAGAAAGAGTCAAAGTTTCCCCTCCTATGAATAGCCCTTTAATTATTTAAAGTCAGCTACTGGTCTGGCGTGAAAACATCACTCCTAGGATGGATTGCTCCTGTTCCGTCTTCCCTCACCCCTGGGTTTCCCGTCTCCTGCGCCCTCCCCGCCCCCCTGTGCCTCGGGACTGTGGCCTGCCTCTCGTCACCAGGATGCTATTCATTGTGGAAGAAGCAGTGTTTGCTGAGGCAGGTCGACGTGTGCCAGGAAGTAGGGGCTTGGCCCAGGCTTGTGCTGTTTAATCCGTACAAGTAGGTGCGGTTCCCTCTAGTACACTGATGAGGAAACCTCATTGCTCCAGGTGACTCGCCCCGGAGGTACCAGCTCTGTCTCTCTTCCTGACAGTCATTGCTCCACGTCCCTGAGTCACGTGGTGCAGTCTTGCTCATTCTTAGTGCCGAAACACATTCCACTTTGTGAGTTTCAAAAGTATTACAGGATTCCCAAAACCTTTACACTGCGGAAATACAGGAGAACCTGTCCCTACTGCAGTACCGTGAGGGCGGGGTCAGATGCCATGGCCTTTTTATATTCTTGTTTTCTGTACCTAAATAAAATGGAGACATGAATATGTGATGTTTTCATTAGAAAGACTGTATGAGTTGATAAAGTATGCAGTGGTGTCTGCTACGTAGTGAGAGCTCAAATGTTGCTAACATTTTTGACCCTCAAAACAGGTGCATAATGTGAAAATAAATGTATAGAAGTCTCCCAGCAACAAAAACAAGAATGGGAATGGTCTGTGTATGACGTCGTTAGCTTGGGTTTATCCCCCCCAATTTTTTTTTTTTTTTTTTTTGACAGGCAGAGTGGACAGTGAGAGAGAGAGACAGAGAGAAAGGTCTTCCTTTGCTGTTGGTTCACCCTCCAATGGCCGCCGTGGCCCGCACGCTGCGGCCGGTGCATCGCACCAATCTGAAGCCAGGAGCCAGGTGCTTCTCCTGGTCTCCCCTGGGGTGCAGGGCCCAAGTACTTGGGCCATCCTCCACTGCACTCCCAAAATGTATCACAGACTTTCCTCCATATCGTTCTCTTTCTGCCCACTACACGGTGTGCTGCCTGCCCTTCACGTAGTTAGTGATGCCCCTGACTGATGGGTGTCTGGGGGCAATGGCACAGGAAGCTTTCTGGAGCATACATCGCCCTTCATTAGAAGTGGTTGAACCTACGCATTGAAATTTACATGTGTCTCCCTGTAACATTTTATCCTGATACATGTGGCCCGTTGCTAAGATGTGATGTCACTGCGTAGATTTTGACCCTGTCATCCACCGGATTCCTAGTCCTTGGTTTCACTTATTTGTTGAGATTGTGATCCACCCACCTGCCGGCCTTAACATACTGAGAAACCTGGATTGAAAACAGGTGTGCAGGTGTCACTGTGCTCCAGGGGAGAGTGTCCTCCAGGTGTGCAGGTGTCACTGTGACCCAGGGGAGAGTGTCCTCCAGGTGTGCAGGTGTCACTGTGCCCCAGGGGAGAGTGTCCTCCAGGTGTGCAGGTGTCACTGTGCCCAGGGGAGAGTGTCCTCCAGGTGTGCAGGTGTCACTGTGCCCAGGGGAGAGTGTCCTCCAGGTGTGCAGGTGTCACTGCACTCCAGGGGAGAGTGTCCTCCAGGTGTGCAGGTGTCACTGCACTCCAGGGGAGAGTGTCCTCCAGGTGTGCAGGTGTCACTGTGCCCCAGGGGAGAGTGTCCTCCAGATGTGCAGGTGTCACTGTGCCCAGGGGAGAATGTCCTCCAGATGTGCAGGTGTCACTGTGCCCCAGGGGAGAGTGTCCTCCAGGTGTGCAGGTGTCACTGTGCCCCAGGGGAGAGTGTCTTCCAGGTGTGCAGGTGTCACTGTACTCCAGGGGAGAGTGTCCTCCAGGTGTGCAGGTGTCACTGCTCCCCAGGGGAGAGTGTCCTCCAGGTGTGCAGGTGTCACTGTGCTTCAGGATGAGTCTCCTCCAGGTTTTCGGGTGTCACTGCCTCCCCAGGGGCGGGTCTCCTCCAGGTGTGCAGCTCTACCTGTATTTCTGAAGGAAAAGGTCAGGACAGGCATTGTTAGATTCCCTTTCTGGAGTCTTAAGAAAGTAGCCATTTGGGCTGGCGCTGTGGTATAGCGGCTAAAGCTGCCACCTACAATACTGACAATCTCATATGGGCGCCAGTTCGAGTCCTGGCTGCTCCACTTCCAATCCAGCCTTCTGCTATGGCCTGGGAAAGCAGTAGAAGATGGCCCAAGTCCTTGGGCCCCTGCATCTGTGTGGGAGACCTGGAAGAAGCTCCTGGCTCCTGGCATCAGATCAGCACAGCTCTGGCCGCTGTGGCTAACTGAGGAGTGAACCATCAGATGGAAGACCTCTCTCTCTCTCTCTCTCTCTCTCTCTCTCTCTCTCTCTGCCTCTCCTGCTCATCTCTGTGTAACTCTGACTTTCAAATAAATAAATAAATCTTAAAAAAAAAAAAAAAGTAGCCATTTAGGGAGAGGTCTTTTATCCAGTCTGGAAGGATGGCATGCACTATTTGGGGAAACTTGAAGTATAAACGACAGATGTCTATACTTTGGGGAAATGTCTGAAAACTGTCTAAAAGTGCCTACAGCTTCATTGCCAAGAAGACAAGAAAGAAAGGAGAAGTGTGAATGCTATTTTATCCCATTAGGCTAGCTGCCACATAGCTGGCTCCAGGGCTGCCGCTCCACTTGGCAATTTTTTAGCAAGATTGCATTTAATGTAACGAGTTAAAATGTATTTTCAGAATATCGGGTTAATCTAAACCATTAAAAGTTGTTGCCTAAATGTGAAGTAGAGTAGAGAACTGACTTTCGGTGTCTACTCTGCTAACTTTGCTTCTGCACTGAGCACGTCATGGGAGGCAGCCAGATACCCAGCTTCCTTGAGCATAGTAAATAGTGAGAGCTTCGCCTTTGGTGCCCGTTTTTATTTCGTCTTTGGCTGTTTCGGATGTCAGAGATTAGAGCAGCCACATGCATTACCTCACTTGAACTCTTCAAGAACTCCGAAGTGACAGAATGCAGATCCCTGTTCCCATTTTGCAACAGAAGGAAGTGGAGCACAAAGGAATTTTCAAACCACCCAGGAAAGACAAGTGACTCTGACCACTGGGACAGTCCTGGAAAGCTTCCCCCAAGAGGTGGCCTCAGTGAAAGCTCAAAGGGTTGTTAAGGGCAAGTGTGACAAGGACCAGCCAGGCCCAGAGGCCCAGAGGCAAGAGGGTCAAGAAGCAGGAGTCTTGTGGCTGGCGCTGTGGCTCCGGTTCGAGTCCCAGCTGCTCCATTTCTCTGGGAAAGCAGTAAAAGATGGCCCCCAAGTTCTTGGGCCCTTGCACCCATGTGGCAGACCCAGAAAAAGCTCCTGCCTCCTGGCTTCGGATCGGCGCAGCTCCAGCTGTTGCAGCCAACTGGGGAGTGAACCAGAGGATGGAAGACCTCTCTCTGTCTTTCTCTCTCTCTCCCTCTGCCTCTCTGTGACTCTGCCTTTCAAATAAATAAATATTTTTTAAAAAAAGAAGAAGCAGATGAAGCAGCAGCAGCAGCAGCAGGAAGGAGGCAGACATGCAGCCGACAGGTGCTGGGGGCTGAGGCCAGTGAGGGACGCGAGGAGGCCAAACCCGTGAGAGGCGTGAATGCCGGGCACAGGAGTGTAGGCTTCAGTCTGCACCACGGGAAGTCATGCAGAGGGAAGGGGACGAGGACAGGATGACTCCAGCCAAGTCCCAAACCCAAGCTCTGGCCCCTGCAGCCGTTGGTGAGGAGTTGCGAAGCGTAAATGAAGGGACACACTGGCCTTGATAATGGCAGAAGGCAACAGGCCCGGTCAGGACAAGTTGCAAGAGCGCCTCGCCCAGAGTCTGCACACGTGATGTGATGGCACACAGTACATATGTGTCGGGCGTTCTTGTCTACATGGACATGACAACAAGAAACACCCAGTATGTGCACTGTAATTCTTATTTTGTAAATGTTTCTAAGGAATGCCGATTGAAAGACAGGTGGGGCAGGGGTTTGGCAAGGTGGTTAAGTCGCTGCTTGGGACACTCACATCCTCTATCAGAGTGCCTGGGTTTGAGTCCCACCTCCAATTCTGCTCCAGCTTCCTGCTAATGCACACCCTAGGAGGCAGCAGGTGGTGGCTCAGGTCCCTGCCACCCACATGGGAGACCTTCATGGAGTTCCCGGCTCCTAGCTTCGGCCTGCCCTAGCTCCAGTGTCGCAGGCATTTGGAGAGCAAACCAGTAGATGGAAGATCTCTCTGTCTCTCCCTTCCTCTCTCCCCCACTCTCTCTCCTTTTCGAATAAAATGAAAATAAATACATAAACATTAAAAAATAAGCAAAGACAAATAAATGGTGTCATAGCAGAAGGCAGCAGGGGTGCTGTGCCTGGGCCAGACTTGAGACAAGGGGGTTTGAGCATTTGAAATGGCTTAACTGGTTCGCGGGAGCACAGTGCTGCTTTCCCGTAAGATTGTCCAGGCAGAGAGGGGCTGCACACCACGCGCTACTCTGACAGTGTCATCACTGGGACCAGGTCCTGCCCAGCCCATCACTTGCTGGGTCAAGGAGCTTTGAAAGCACTTTTAGACAACAGAAGTGTCACTGATTGGTTTAAAAGGACATCGAGCTTACGTGTGTTACGTGTGTTGGTGATCATGGTGGAGTCAGTTTTGGTTAGGCAAGACAGAATGCCATTTATTTCAAAATAAAAATTAATTAGGAATGTAAGCCTTCACGTATTTAAGATTTTTTTTTGGCAAAGATTTTATGTGGAGACTAAATCTTTTTTTCTTCTTTAACTGTAGTTAAATATCACAGAACTTCAGAATTTCTTGGGAAGTAACTAATGTGTAAAATAAAAAAAAATTGCCAGGAATGTATGCTAGCACCTCGGAAATAACGAAAGATCTCTTGTGCAGGTAGATGCCCGGCAGGTCCCCTACACCCTGAGTCCTCGGGTTCGCACAGGCCACGCCTTTGCCTGTGGCGGCCTTTGAGAACACTGTTTTTTTTTGACAGGCAGAGTTAGACAGAGAGAGAGACAGAGACAGAGAGTAAGGTCTTCTTCCTTCCCGTTGGTTCACCCCCCTAAATGGCCACTATGGCCAGTGCGCTGCGCCGATTTGAAGCCAGGAGCCAGGTGCTTCTCCTGGTCTCCCATGTGGGTGCAGGGCCCAAGGACCTGGGCCATCCTCCACTGCCCTCCCGGGCCACAGCAGAGAGCTGGACTGGAAGAGGGGCAGCCAGGACAGAATCCGGCACCCCAACCGGGACTAGAACCTGGGATGCTGGCACCGCAGGTGGGGGATTAGCCTAGTGAGCCACAGTGCCAGCCGAGAACACATTTTCTGTCTTCATTTTCAGGTTCTAGGGTAGCTACTGCATGAATAGGCACGCAGGGTCCCTGCATCACTTACGTTGTTATTTGCTGGGATAAACGTGCAAGTATCTGCTCTTACTTTTCCTTCCTTTCGATGTGAATTTTAATGTTTACCTTTTTTCTTAGTGTCTGCCGGCTCACAGTTAAGGCTGCACTAGGTCGGGGGCCTCTAGGGCAGGTAGGAATTTATTTAACAAAAATCCGCTTTCTAGTAAGTAAGAATATTATCTGCTACAGAAGAGGCACGCACAGTTAAATAACCACGTACTGTGTGTGCCCACCAGGAATTATTCTAGATACCAGAGATAAAAGCCGTGAACAACACGGAACATTGTTCTGCCTTTCAGAGCGGGCTCTGTGATGTGGGCCTGGAGGGAGACGGGAAACAAGCAGCAGCTTTTGTTAAGTGCTCACAAGGAAATGAAAGAGAACTGGAGACTGGGCTGAGGGTTCATTAATATGTAATGTTATTAGGAGTGTAATAATTCAAGAGGTTGAATTATTTAAATCTAAAATTCATCTCTTCAGGTGTACTGGATTTCCTCTCCGTGCATGTGTACGTACACACATGTATGCACACACACACACACACACACACACAGGAGACTTTGGAAAGTTCATGGAAAATAGAATTAAAAGATAAAAGTTTTGGCCGGCGCCGCGGCTCACTAGGCTAATCCTCCGCTTGTGGCGCCAGCACACCGGGTTCTAGTCCCGGTCAGGCGTCGGATTCTGTCCCGGTTGCCCCTCTTCCAGGCCAGCTCTCTGCTGTGGCCAGGGAGTGCAGTGGAGGATGGCCCAGGTGCTTGGGCCCTGCACCCCATGGGAGCCCAGGAAAAGCACCTGGCTCCTGGCTCCTGCCATCAGATCAGCGCGGCGGCCATTGGAGGGTGAACCAACGGCAAAGGAAGACCTTTCTCTCTGTCTCTCTCTCACTGTCCACTCTGCCTGTCAAAAAAAAAAAAAAAAAAAAAGATAAAAGTTTTTCTAGTGCAAAAAAATGTGAAGGCCCAGCATTGTGGTACATACAGCATGTTAAGCCGCCACCTGCTGGCTTGGCTCACGTTCCCACCTGCAGCGTGAAGAAGCCGCGTGATCTCTGGGAAGATGCAGGAGAGCAAGCCGCCGGGGTGAATCCTACCCAGAGTCTGCTCTGAAAAGGCTAAAAGACAAGTCCTGAGCAAGCACACCGATCCAGACCAAGTTAGCCGCGTGCCAGAACACGTTCAACACCCTTACCCCAATCCAGCGTGAAGTCATACAGTGAACCTTGTCTGGCATCCCCCAGAAGTTACCATAAACGCAGAAAGTGGTGAAGTGAGACTGGGAGTCGGGATGGGGATCAGACTGCAGGGGCACATCCAGAGGTTACAGGTGAGTTAACAGACAAGAAGAGACGAGGTTAAAACCACCGCCACGGATACATGCCCTGCGAGCAGGAGTGTGGAGGGAACATGTACGCGATCGTGTGGAGGAGAGACACGTAAGGTGAAACGTGAAGTGTTTGTTGGGAAAACTGTACCGGGTTGGGGTGACAGCACGTTAGACGCTGAAGAAGAGACCAGTGAGCTTGAAGCTCTCACCGTAGGAAGTGCCCAGCATGAGGCAAGAGAAGAAAAGCTACTGAAAATAAAAACGAGATAGAGCTGCAGTAAGTCCTGGGGAAAGACCAGGTTGTCTCAAATTTGTGTGATAGGCGCGATTGGTGTGCCAGAGAGAAAAATGGGCATAGGAGGAAAGAAAGGCCAAAATTGGATGAAAATATAAGTCTACGGCCCAAGCCCCCCAATTCTGTATGTAGTGTAACTTCTTTCAAAACTGAAAGAAATGTGAAAACATTTTTAAAGATTTATTTATTTATTTGAAAGAATAATATAGAGAGGGACACAGAGAAAGAGAGACATCTTCCATTTGCTGCTTTGCTCCCGTAATGGTCACAGTGTCAGGGCTGAGCTACGCCAAAGCCAGGAACCAGGTGCTCCATCTGGGTCTCCCTTGAGCGTGCAGCGGCCCAAGCACTTGGGCCATCTTCTGCTGCTTTCCCAGACCATAGCAGAGAGCTGATCAGAAGTGGGGCAGCCGGGACTCGAACCGGCACCCATATGGGATGCTGGCAGTGCTGATGGCAGCTTAACCTGCTATGCCACAGCACTGGCCTCAGACAAATTAAAACTTATTTCAGGAAAACAAAAGCTAAAAATGGTTATCACCAGAAACCAATATAGGAGAAAATATAACAGATGGAAATTTGGATTTATATAAAATATAAATGGTAAAATGGGGGTAAATATAAAGACATTTTTATTTCTTTAAATAATTGAGTCTTTTCTTTCTTTTCTTTTTAACTTACTTTTTAAGGACAGACACAGAGGTCCTGCATGGGGAGTTAGTGCACAGTGACTCCTGTTGTTAATTTAACAATTTACACTCATACATATGACATCAGTGACCACCCGAGACTCTGGACATGAGCTGCCTAGGCTATCGAAGCCTTTGAGTCCACAGACTCCGACCTTATTTAGACAAGGCCATGAGCAAAATGGAAGTTCTCTCCTCCCTTTAGAGAAAAGCACATCCTTCTTTGATGGCCATTTCTTTCCTCTGGAGTCTCACTCACAGAGATCCATCATGTAGAACATTTTTTACCACAGTGTCCTGATTCTAAGGTCAGAATATTACTTAAAGTGATTGTAATTCTGGCTGGCGCCGCGGCTCACTAGGCTAATCTCTGCTGTGGCCCGGGAGGGCAGTGGAGGATGGCCCAAGTCCTTGGGCCCTGCACCCACATAGAAGACCAGGAGGAAGCACCTGGCTCCTGGCTTCAGATCGGCACAGCACGCCGGCCGTAGCAGCCATTTGGGTGGTGAGCCAATGGAAGGAAGACCTTTCTCTCTGTCTCTCTCTCACTGTCCACTCTGCCTGTCAAAAAAAAAAGTGATTTTCATTCTGTGAATCTGCTGTGTGACTGTTTCCCATTGTTGGAACACTCTCTCCTTTTTAATTCTATTATTATTACCAGACACTTGATCCTATTTATGTGATGACTTTAACACTTAATCCTATCTATATGTTCCCTTTAACACTTAATATGATCACTTTAACACTTAAGATGGCATTTTTACCACCCAGCTTAATGGGATTTGGAGTCCTATGACGAGCTTTTAAATTGTACCCTTGGGAGTAAGTCCATAGGAATGTGTGCATAACTATATAGCTTTGCAGTTAAAAACTTCCTCCTCCCTCTAAAGAATTGAGTCTTTAAAGGCAGATTAATAATGGGTGACTGAGGCATCAAGGACAAGAGAAAGAAAACTAAGATTCTCATGGTGTTTATTCCAGGATGCAAGGTCAGTTCATCATCCAAAATTCAAATCCATGTCATTCACCATATATGTAGACTAAAAAAAAGATCATGCGGTCATCTCCACAGGTGTTACAAAAAGCAGTGATAAGTTAAGCACTCAGGAAATGAGGCATAGAAGAAGCTTCCTAACTTGGTAAAGGGAGTGCATGAGAAGTTTATAATCACATTCACTGATAAAAGACTGAATGCTCTCCTCCCCTTACACTGTGAACAAGGAAGGAGTGTGTGCTTCCACAAGGGCTGTTTAACAAGGACTCAGCAGTATCATCCAGCAAGGAAAAAAAAATTGCATACTCTTTGGACGAAGGGGAAAAACAAACATTTTAATTCACAACAGTATGATTATCCATGTAGAAGATCTACCAACAACAACAAAAAACCCAGCTACTCATTCTAATAAGTGAGTTTAGCAGGTCTATGGGATATAAAACCAATATACAGAAACCAGTAGTAGTTGAGAATGGAGAGTTTGAAAACCAAGCATTTAAGATGCTGTTAGAGGCCGGCGCCGCGGCTCAATAGGCTAATCCTCCACCTTGCGGCGCCGGCACACCGGGTTCTAGTCCCGGTCGGGGCTCCAGATTCTGTCCCGGTTGCCCCTCTTCCAGGCCAGCTCTCTGCTGTGGCCAGGGAGTGCAGTGCAGGATGGCCCAAGTGCTTGGGCCCTGCATCTACATGGGAGACCAGGAGAAGTACCTGGCTCCTGCCATCAGATCAGTGCGCCAGCCGCAGCACACCAGCCGCAGCGGCCATTGGAGGGTGAACCAACGGCAAAAGGAAGACCTTTCTCTCTGTCTCTCTCACTGTCCACTGTGCCTGTCCAAAAAAAAAAAAAAGATGCTGTTAGAAACAGTTGAGGATAAGGATAGGAAAGCACGTGCAGCACTGCATGCTGAAAACTGAGAAACAGTGCAGAGGTGAGAGAGCGAGGAGGCTGTGCCCACACAGGGGACCTGAATTGGGTTCCTGCTGCCATTGAGGGCACCTGGGGAATGAGCCAGCAGTGGTAGCTTACTTCCTCCATCTGTCTCTGTCTGTCTGTCTCTCTGTGTTTCAAATAAATAAATGAATAAAATTTTGAATAGCAAGATATACCATGTTCATGAATTAGAGAACTTTATATTATTGAATATCATTTTTCCAAAAATTGACCTAGATTCAGCATAATCGCAATCAAATTCCCATACTGCTTTTTTGGTGGCAAAAAAAAAAAGTCAAATGCATATTTATCACATGACACAGCAATCCTTGTGTAGATATTCCCAAAAGGAATGAAAATATTCAGAGCTGCATTTGAGATAACCAAAAATGGAGGGAAAAAAACTTAGTAGCCACCAACTGATGAATGGGTAAACAAATTATAGTAAGAGTATATCCACAAAAGAAAAGAGTAACCAGTAGCTACCAAGATATGCAGTAAAACAGGTAAATCTCAAAAAATGTTGGCAATTTAAAGATTCCCAATGCCTACATGTTTCCATCTACATGGAATTTTAGAGAGTGCAGGTGTAGTAAGGTTTCCTGGAAGGGTGAGGCGGGGTGGGGCGGGGCCTGCCTGGGGAGGCGGAGCTCATCAGCACAGCTTGATGCTGGCGGCCTGATGGTTTAGAGTCATCAAAACTCATCAAGTCTGTACCCTCGAAATTGGTGAGTCCTGGTCAGTGTATGTTGTGCCTCAGTACAACTGACTCTAAAAACATAGGAACAAACTTCTGTAAAGCTCTGGCAGTACATGGTACCGTGGGGCACGCTGAGAAGCAGGAGTGACAAAGGCAGAATCACTTAACTGTGCTTCTGCCCATGCCATCTGTGGATTACGAAGTTCTGTTGAGACGTCACAGTGAACGCAGATGGGAAAATCTGTGGTCACAGAAGTGGAGCCAGGGGAAGCAATTTCAGGCCGCAGATTTTGAAGACAATCAGAGGATGAGAGGTGTTTCGGGGGCAGCTGTCTCCGGATATTCCAAGGACTCTAGTGTGGGGCGGGATCGGGATTTGTTTTTTTCTTCCTGAGATGTTCTGGCTACACGGAAATAAGTTTCTGCCCAGCACAAAGCATCTCAGATGGTTCAGGTTTGGGAATGGTTGTGAATGGGTGTCATTGCAAGGCTGGCATACAGACAGAAACTTCTGAAGAGTGAGCTCAATTCAGCTCATGGTGATACTTGTTCATTGTGTCCTGTGAGTCTACAGAGGCAGATGTATCGGCTTCTGCTCCCTTCTCCGCCCCGCATCCCTGCCCTCGCTCTCAGCTTTGGTCACTGCTCCTGTTGGTGACTCATTCTCACGAACGCGACTTTGCCCGTGGCCTCCTTCCCTGGGTTATCCTAGGTGCCTTCCGTTCATTCCAGTGGTGGAAACAGGATTTGATCAGTGTCTGGACCTCAGTGCCAATCCTGCGACCTCACGGGAGGATTTGAAAAGTTCACGTAAATCCCGTCTCCCAGAGCTGGAACAAAGCAATGAGGAAAGTGTGCCATGCAATGTGGACTTGCGCACTCCCGCTGGCTTTACAGAATGGGGATAGCACGACCTGCCGCCTGGTTGTCCAGATCAAATGATTAAGTAAAATGATACACGAAAATCTCGTACCTTTGAAAAGTACTATTCACACAGAAGCGATTTCTGGTTTGGTTAGTAAGATGTGAATGTTTATCTTATTTTATACATTTATTTTGGGCTGCTTCTTATATATATAGATATATATTTTTTAACTAGATTTGTATTCGGGCAGAGGATTTCATGCATGCGAGTGTTAACTCATCTGATGTGACACATCCAGTGTGCGCGTGCTGACAGGGAGTGCCGACTCCCCCGGAACGCGGCTGAGGCTGTCCTGCTGTGGCGCTCACGTGGCTTAACTCCCAGAGTCGCCTTGCGGGCAGTGTCCCCAGGGCTCGCCGTGTGCTGCAGGCTCCATCCCCGAAACAGCACATCCATTTTATGCGTTGAATTTTATTACATTTCTGTCTCTATAAAGTGTTAGAGACAGCGGGCTTATTGAAAGCAGCGATTTTCAGGCAGACTCCCAAGGCCGATGAGCCTGTTCCTTTGCCTTCCTTCAGCTGAGTGCAAGGTTACTAACCCAGCACTGGCCCAGGCCACGTTTCAGCTGCGGTTCTAAGAGTTGGCTCTACACCATCGCCCAAGGAATAAGGGTGCTCCACCTGATGCAGGGACCTTTTCATCAATAGCAGCAGTGTGGTTGGTTCAGTCACCCGGATCTGTACCCCTAGTGTAATTGGTGTCAGTTCATCTCTCGCATTGTTTGGCTGTGTGGAAATGGACTATCTACAGATTTTCATGTCACACTATTGTGTTGTTTTTTTTTTACAGTGACCTTTATCTCCTATACTTAATTTCTCCAGAAACATAAACTAATCTTTATAATGTCAGGTCGGGGAGGGGATGACTATAGGGACAGTATATTCTGGTGAGGCATTTACAGCAGGTGTCACCACTTTCCTCCTTTGCTGATCTTAGTAACCTGCCAGCGGGCTCACGGCTGGCTGGGCCCGAGCCCGCCGCCTTCCCGCCTGCTCAGTCACCCTTCCCAGCTGCATGGTGTGCCCCAGTGCTGTGGCCACCACCTCCCTAATTCGTGTGTTATAAAATATCCCTGGTTTCTTTGGGAAAGATAGCCAGGAGGTAAGGATGTGGCTATAGACTGTGCACAGGGGGAGGTGTTTTTGAGTATGACCCCCTTCTATGCATATTTTTTTAGTGACCTGTTTCACTTGCGAGTTGCTCCTAGGCCCCTGCGTGAATGCTGAATGCCATACATCATTTGCTTAGGATTTCATGACCTAGCGGTTCAGGATCCCTTTACCTGGGCTGGCGTCGTGGCACAGTGGGTTGGGCTGCTGCCTGCAACACCGCCATCCTGCGTTCGAGTCCCAGTGGCTCTGCTTCCCACCCAGCTCCCTGCTAATGCTCCTGGGAAGGCAGAAGATGGCCCAGATACTTTTACTTTAAACATCTATTTATTTATTTGAAAGTCAGAGCTGCGGAGAGAGGGAGAGGGAGAGACAGACAGAAAGAGAAAGATGTTGCATATGCTGGTTCACTCCCCAGATGGCTGCACTGCTAGGGCTGGGCCAGGCTGAAGCCAGGAGCCAGGAGCCAGGAGCTTCTTCAGGTCTCACATGTGAGTGGCAGGGGCCCAGGTACTTGGGCCGTCTTTGGCTGCTTTTCCCAGGCCATAGCAGGGAGCTGTGCCGTCTTCCACTGCCTTCAGGCTGCATTAGCAGGGAGCTGGATCAGAAGTGGAGCAGCCAGGACTTGAACAGGCATTCATAGGGGATGCTGGCATCACAGACAGTAGCTTAACCTGCTGTGCCACAATGTTGGCCCCCCAAAAGGTAACTGTTAAACAAAAAACTTTGTCGTTCAAAGAGCCTGAAACATTGGTAAGAAATTTAGGTTGTAAGAATTGCTTTTAAAATCTTAAGCCTCATTCATATTAATAGAAATACCAACCAAAGGCACAATGAAATCATTTTCACATTTTAGAATGTAATTCCTTATGTTGGTGACCAGTGAGGGAAACATGGCCTCGTATATTTCTGGTGAGAAATACTTTGACAGTAATTTTTAATATTAAAAATACATATAAAATACACTGTTTGATCCATATGTTTTATTTCTAGGAATTTATCCTATAGATACATTTTCCTATATGGAAAATTAATAACTGAATATTTATTACAACATTACTTGTAAAAATTTTTTTAAATTAATCTCTATTAAAAAGAGATATATTGGTGTCCAGTGTCATGGTGTAGTGGATTAAGCTGCTGCCTGCAATGCTGGCATCCCACTTGGGTTCCAGTTTGTGTCCTACTTCTGATCCAGCTCCCTACTAATGGCCTGGGAAAACTAGTAAAAGATGGCCCAAGTGCTTAGGCCCCTGCTACCCACATGGGAGACTCAGAAGAAATTCTAGGCTCCTGGCTTCAGATTGGCCCAGCTCCAGCCGTTGAGGCCATCTGGGAAGTGAACCAGCTAATTCAAGATTCTCTCTCTCTCTCTCTCTCTTTCTCTCTCTGTCTCTCTCACTCTCTCTCTTCTGTAGCTCTGACTTTCAAATAAATAAATTTTAAAATAAATTAATAGGGATGTATTAAATAAACCAGGTTACATTTGGGTATTTAAAGAGAGACTATGACATTGACCATTCTACAGGTTACTGTGTAATAAAAGAAGCAGACAACAGAATACTGTGTGTAACACACTATCATTTCTTACATATATAATCTGCTAGTATCAGCACAGAATTTTCTCTGGGAGGATGCACAAAACAGCAATAGTGCCTCTGTGATAAAGACTAGAATTGGAAGGGACCTACGGTTCTGTGATAATATTTGATACTTCATGCAAAAGTTACCTTGCTAACAATACTGTTTCTCCTACAAATTGATCAGAACCTAGAGGACCCCGAAAATGAAGTACTAAAGTATCTGAGATTCTGAATGCTGTAGCAATCACAGTGATGGACTGTAAAAATAGGGGTGGACGCTGGACTCCGAGCACTTGACAGGTGGCATCCTGAGTCCTGCAACATTGCTGGGTGGCTGTAGTACTTTACAGGTTATGAACTGGATTCAGCATGTGGCCCGGAGACACACAGCTGATACGGAACATTATGGAATGAAATTGAGGAGTAACACCCAGTACATCCAAGCTCCCACCATTTAGGAAAGACAGCCACTTTCTTACACTCAATTTTGTGTATTAGAATCAAAATCCATATGATTCCAGCAGATTCAACACCTTGAAATACCACTACCTTTTTGAGGATACATGTGTTCATGGTTGTGTATAACCGAGATGTGGACTTACTGGCCTGGTTATATTCCATAAAGAAAAATGAGATTCTTCGTGGATAGAGAAACCTTAAATATGGCCCAAGTCTTAAAAAATAAAGCCCAAGTTCACGGAGGGAAAGTTGAGCCCACCTCCCCTTACATCTTTTAATTGAGGACTTCTGCTTTTATCACCATAAATAAATGGGGCTTTGTGTTTTGTTTGGAGCAAGTGTAAATTTTAGTCTTTTGATTGCTTGGTAGTCAAGGGATTGTTTTGACAGCTGAGAAATTGGCCTACATATTAGAATAGTTATGTGGAGGTCTTTGGGTATCTTAGTATAAAATCTATTTATGTCAGATTCAGTTTATAGCATCTGGAGCTTTGCCTGCCCATGCCAACAAATTGGGACTTGCTTTTGCCACTGAGTCACTGGAACACACAGAATGCTCCAGGCGCCTGTGTACTTCTGCCCCATTGCTCTTTAGAAACAAGGCATCCTTGTTTGGTCCAGTAAACGCATTTCTGGAAGAGCAGTAGGTAAAAGGAGTTATGAACAAAAACTTTAGTTTTTCAACTCATTCATTTGAAAGGTGCTTTTTGAATTTATGATTCATATTTATTAGAGTTCACTCTTTCAATGGACTTGGCTTTCTGGGGTGAGCAGCTCATATATATGCCAGCACATAAATGTTAGAGGAGTTAATGTGGTATGTGACAACGGACAGATTCACATGTAGCTTTTAAAGCCTTGTTGACTAATTAAATAGTGCCCTATAAAGTTTACCCACCATTGTTCTTATGTGAGACTATAGTTAGGTCTCTCTCTGTCTGTCTGTCTCTCTCTCTCCCCCTCCCTCCCTCCCCCTCCCTCTCTCCCTCCCTCTCTCTGTCCTTCTCTCTCCCTCTTTCCCCCTCCCTGCTCCCAGCCTACCCCCTTGGTTTTAAGGCCTACAATGAGAAATCCTGTGAATGTTTTAATTTTCATGGAAACACTTGGAATGTCCCAAGAATTTTATATCTCATGTCTTCTCATTTCATAAAACGTTCAAAAGCAAATGGCCCTGGTGTTTTGAAGACTGAGTTTGCTTGGGGTCACATTGCCCACCCCTTCCAGAGGCCTTCTGCAGTGGCTGGCGGCCGATGCCTGCCGCGCGTGTTCAGAGCAGCGCCCTGCACTGTGGGATGGGACGTGGGACGCGTTCAGGACCTTGCCTGCTCCTCATCCTCTCACAGTGTTGGGAGCTGCCCCACAGCGCCCGTGTGAGATGTCTCCAGGGTCTGCGTCAGAGTGTGCCTTTTCTAAGCTGAGACCAGAAGAACTTTGATTAAAAATAGACGGGTTGTCATTTTTGGCAGCTAGCGCAGCGTGTGCGGTTAGCATTGTGAGCGTGTTTTCATCTGTAGACATGTGTCTGACTCACAGCATTCCTGTGTAGGAAAACTGCACTTCCCCCCTGGTCCTCCTAAGACATGAGCCACACCATTAAAAGGGGAGATCGAAAGTTCCAAAATGCAATGCAGCAATCCACAGACACTTGAAGGCAAACGCTTCACGTGTTCAGCACTTTGAGATAAACCAGGTGGATGCAGAAGTTGTTGAATCTCTCTGCTGTAAGTCAGCAGTGACCTTTCTGAGGACACGAGCCCAGCACCAGTGCGGACGGCAAAACCAAGGCACGGAGCCCTTCCCAGAGTTCACGACCAGCAGGCAGTGGAGAGGGAGTTCAGCCTGGTTTGCACTTTTAGCCCCACCATACACTGCCCAGTTGGAAAGTTAACATGAGGCAGAAGTTCTCGCCCTCAAAGAGCTTTTCATGTACCTGGGAGTGGTGGCATTCCTGGGACAGAGCTCCACAAACCAAAGCTCATGGTCTCGTCTCGATCTCCAGCCATCCCCTTTGTCAGCTCTCCCACTTCAGATTGTCTCTCGTAACCGGTGCCACCAAAATCCAGCTTCTCCGTAATTAGGAGTGACCCAGGTTAGAAATGGGCTCCTTTCAGATGTTCTGTCCCTGCCTGCCATCTCTGCTTGCCCACTGCGGGACCTTGACTTGGCCGGCCCCAGCATATGGTTCGTTCTCGGCCAAGGGTTGCCACATAGTTCTGTAAGCCAGTCCGGGGCAGGTGCAGGAGTGACAACTGCCAAGGTCCAAGTCATTGCTTCTAAAATCGGCTCATCTTTGGGTTTATCAGGAAGTAGAAGTTCTGTTGATTTCGATGAAATCCAGGTTAGTATTCTGTGACTTTCTTATCATAGCCATAGTTTGGGCACTTGTTTGAAATATGGGTCCTTGAAAAGATAGACTGTCGTGGAGTGGATTTGTGCGGTATAAATTGTGAAGTCCTGCAGCCACCTCCTCTGTCTAGAAACAGTGCTCATCCATATTTTAACACACACATTGACAAGGGTGGCAGAAACCTCGTCTTCCCAGTAGCAGTCTGAACCCGACTGATGGAGGATTTATTGCCTAATTATACTTGTCATCTTGACATAAACGTTATTCGTTCTGGAAAAACGTGTTTGTCATACCAGGACTGTCTAATGAATACAGTCAATATCCGGTGTATATTTAAAGCCAAGCAGAACAGTCATCCCCAGAGTGGGTGTTGTGGACACCAGGGAGCTGATGGTACCGCCTGGGGCCGTGCGGCAGTGCGCTCAGTCCAGGTGTGCAGTGCAGGGAGCAAGGAAGATGCCAGGCTGTGCCCCACCATGCTGCTCACATGGACTCCCTCTGTCAGTGGATTATAAGGGTGATAACCAGAGAATCAGGGAGGAGGAGGAATTGGGACAGAGCTGGGATTCAAGCCCGCCCCATGTGCTGTTTGCTCAGCGTTGGAAGCTACCAGCCAGTTGGAGCTGTGCAGCACCCACGGGTGCTCTTGCCCTCCTACCTAGAGTGCAGGTCGGGCTGGAGCTCGGGATTCACTGGGCAGCCACACAGGGCAGCCGTCTGGGCACCGGGCAGCCACACAGGGCAGCTAGCTGGGCACCGGGCAGCCACACAGGGCAGCCAGCTGGGCACAGCTATTTTCCTTCTGCTCAAGGTCCCAGCGTGTGCTGGATTATCAGTGCCTGTTGCACTGAGGCCACACAGCGGCAGGTGCAAGTGCCAGTGACCTCATGGGGCAGCTGGCTGATCCGTGCCCACATGAGCCCGACTCCCACTAGGACCCACCGCGCCTGTGCCAGCCCCACTGAGTGCACTGTTGTCAGGCCCGTGAAACCCGCCCGCAGTTCTTCCCAGGCGGTCACAAGTCCCAGCGTTCCTTGATCTGGACACACATGTGTGTATTCTGCCATAAACATAAATCTCACAAGTTGGTTTTGAACAAAAACAAAAACAAAAAAGTGTAAGCTATGGGTCCCACTCCGACCTACCCCAAAAGAGTTGCATTACGGTGCTTCTGTGACCAGTGAAAATGTGTTCCAGCAGCACGGAGTGTCCTGGGGCCCTGAGGCCCTGGCGTGCAGTGAGCAGAACTGCGGTGAGAGGCCACTGTTATTCTTCTGATTTCCACACGTCCTTTCTGCAGCATTTATTTATTGAAATCACCCGATGGGCTCCGAAGCATTAAATCGCAGATTCGAGTCAATAGTGAAGCGGACTGAAAACGACTCTGCCTGCAGTGCACACGCTGATGGGCGGGGCAGCCCCTCCGTGGCCTGCGCCGCCTCTGTGAAGAGGGCCGAGTTGTGTGTGGAGGCCTCACAAGGTCGGCGACAGCGCAAGCCTGCGACATTCATGGTGGAGCCTGAGAGACAAGGGGGTCCGTGGCTCCCCAGTCGAGCGTTCAGCTTATCTCCTAGGACCGCCCACGTAGGGCAAGCTGTTAGGACACCTCGGACTCTTCCCCAGAGAGCAGCTGGTGGGAGCAGGAGCAGGGCGAGGCGCTCAGCCCCCTGAGCTCTTCTTCCTGGTGTCTGCTGGCCCCCGGACGCTGACTGCTGTGACAGCGTGGGAGACCACCGCACACAGGCGCAGGGGTGCGGGGCTGCAGGATGCAGAGCCCTTGGGAGCAGCCTGTCAACCACAATGCGGGGGCGGAACCAATTGCACCTCCTTGCGCTGTGCTGGGCGGGCGCTTTCCAAAGCCACGTTTGTTTCATTCCCCCTGACTGCTGGGTGGCCTGGCAGCCGAGTCAGCATCCCAGCTGTCTAGACGAGGGGGCTTATTAAACTCTTGAGTCATTGGGTTCTCAGAAAGACTCAGTGATAGAAAAATGAGGTGTAGTTTTGACAAGAAAGAATTTCATTGCATTGCACTTGAAGCTCGGATGCACACGCACACAAATACCCCATTCCCTTAAATGGCTTGGGTCTGGTGTGGTGAGGCCCCACCCTGGGCGTCCGTAACGCGTGCCGCTGGCCAAAGTCCGCTTCGCTTTCTAGCATAAGCAGTTATTTTCTTCTGCTCTCCTAATCTCCCCCTCTATTCCTGCTGCAAACACGCAAGGACTAAAAAATGTCCCTGTGACATATGGTGGCTTTTGCCTCCTCCGGTGACTCTGAAAGCCTTACAGTGTCCTAGTGCGCACTCATCTGCAAGTGTTCATTTCAAATAGCAACAGTAAATTGTCTTCCAGCAGACTGAAATTATCGCAATAAAAATACACGTGTGCTCTAAACTCAGAACTTCTCAGCATACACTCAGGAGCTGGGCCACCTGCTGTAGCAGACACACCTGTCTTGCACACGGGTATAGATCACATGCCCACACCAGGGCCAGTAGTGCCCAACATGAGAGGAAAAGCAACCCCGGCACCTGCAAGCCTGCAAACAGATCGTTAGACTTGTCTGTTGTTGTGTAGCACACGACCCCAAGTTAGCGACTTCCCAGAAACCATCGTTTTGTGGCTCATGGGGTTGGGAAAGGCACTGCTGGGCAGCGTGTCGACAATCCACAGGAGGCACGCTGGGGCCACTGCAGAGCAGCTGCTGGCCCACGTGCCCTTGGGCCTCCCTCTCCCCTGGGGTGGTGCCTGCTCCAGGGTCTCTGCACGTGGCTCGGGCTTGCCCGGCTGAGAACCACAGAAATCCGGGTGGCACTGCTGAGTGCGTCTCAGGGACCCAGCAGCTGAGGAAGGCCACCCGCGTCCCAGGGGAGACGGATCCACTCGTAGCTCGGGATTGTCAGAGCAGAAGGCCAGGGCTGTTAGGGACCACGATGAAATGCCTCTGGGGAACAAAGCACTTGCGTGAGCTCAGCGTGTCCTGCAGCTGCTTTGTATTTCAGGAGAGAAAACAAGACCACGTCAGCATTGTTTGCTCTGCTCTGATTTTTGCCTCAGTGCTTATGGTGAAACCAGCAAGTGTCGCCGGGCCCCCTGCTGGGTGATGAGGAGGGTAATGATGGGAACTGGGAGGAGGCCTGGGGATGCGGCCGTGCCGCTGGGCTATGGAGGAAGCCCTCTGTGCTTGGGTCAGACCGCAGAGGGATGCTTTAGACGGCAGGGCCCCAGATGCTGCACCCGTGGGAGCCCTCGACCCTTACTTCTCCCCCAGACGCCTGGGGACACGCGGTCCCCGGGCTGGCTCAGCATCTCAGACATGGCAGTGCCCCCCAGGGACCCCTCTGGGAGTCTGCGGCCTCCCTGTCAGCTTGCAAGGCAGCCACCCCAGTGCAAGCCGCACGTCGTCTTTGTGACCACCGAGGGACCGGGAGGGCTGGCACCAGTGTGGTCGGGCCAGCCAGCGGGCTCGCTTTGCAGCGTGTGGAGCGTGGATGAAATCGTACTGATAATAAGGTGGGTTTTCAGCCGCCCTTTGCCTGTCACCGTGGGGCTGAGCGCTACCCCACAGCTTCCTAACAAAGCGGGATGTGACGCCTGCACTTCTGTAACTTGTGGCGCCTGCGCATAGGTTCTCAGGGCTTAGAAGAGGAGAACTCCCCAGCCCTGGTGGCCGGCCTTTGTCTCACACCCTGGAGATGGAGACCCGGGAGTCCCGACATCTCGTCTTTGGTTCTGACTTGAACCGGGACGATGCGTTCCAACTGCCCTGCTTCCTGAGTAGTAGAGCGCAGCCAGCGAGCCGGGCCTGGCGGGCAGGAAGCTGGGATCTAAGCGAGTCAGGCCCGCAGCTGAGAGGTGAGGGCTGAGCTGAGCTGGGCAGGGGCGAGGGCGAGGAAGAGCGGGGGGCGGGGGGGGGGGGTGCTGCCGTGGGCTCCTCGGATGGTAGAGCGATGCTTATTTTCCAGCTGGCTGCAGGTGGAATCCTTCATTCTGTGACTCTGTAGCTGGCTCATTGTGTATTTTTCACCCCAGAAAAATCCATACCCAGAGTGCAATGGCTTTGGTGGACTCCGAACATCTGAGCTGGGAGCACCTCTGAATCCCTGCCCGTCTCTAGCAGGGTAATTCACTCGCTCACGCATTCGTTCATTCATTCATTCAGCAGTCACCAGGCTCCTGCCCTGCCCTGGGTGCTGGGGCTGCCTGTGAAGGGCTCGTGGTCTCGGGAGGGTGGACCATCAGGCAGCTTCCTCCCCGTGAGAACTTAGGAAAGCCAACGTGAGAAACGAGTGTTGTCTACGCCACAGGCACTGGGGCCATGAGCTTGGCGGTGTTCAGTACCGGCGCGGTGTCCACATTTGGGTTATGAGGGCGAATCACGGCGCCACGCAGCCACGATTGTGAACAGGTTCACAGGAGGGCCGGAAGGAGGCCCCGCCAGCTCCTCTAACGTCATTTCCGAAGTAGAAGCCTGGTGCCTCGTGGCGACTCCTGATGGATTCAAGCCAGGAATCTGTGATGTGTTAGAAACCGTGTTTCTGACAGTCGTATTTCAAATGGTAAAAAGAATATTGTTGAAAAATTAAGACTTCTAACAACACCACAAATGCTTACTGCCAGCTCCTCTGTGAGACATGACCCAAGAAAGTAGAAGGTGGTCTCAAACTTGCCCTCTTCTCCTAACCTGCCCCACCCGCCTACATCTGAGCCCAGCCTGGACCTGGGTGCAGGCAGCCCTGACCCGGGGAGCTGGGGGCTGCCCCCACTCCTCGTTGCCATGGTTTCTTGCAGAGCCACCCTTCACTGGGGCTGGCCTCTATCCCCTGGACCAGCTCTCCGCAGGGCCTCTGCTCCCTGCCTGTGCTGCTGGTGTGGACCCGGGCACCAGCACTCACCCCTGCTGGCCCTGGGGCTGACTCCCGGGTGGACAGCACTGATTCTCTCCGCACCCTGCCCCCCAGGCTGTGCATCATCTGCTGCCTCCAAGCCACGCCCACCTCCTGGGTCCCGGAATCTCCTGCAGTCTCTCTTCCCCCACTTTCCCTTGCTCTCATCCAGGGGCCTCTACATCCTGGCCCCAGGCAAGCACTTGGCTTAGTCAAAAAAGCACAGAAATTGTGTTTTCTTCACTCTGTTCCTAAGCCTGACCATTCTGCCTTAGGCAATGTAAAAAAAAGTGCATGTTTGAAATGATGACTTTTCTTTACATTGGCTCAGCGGTCAGGGTGTGCTGGGTCATGTTTGAAGTGATGACTTTTCTTTACATGGGCTCAGCGGTCAGGGTGTGCTGGGTCATGTTTGAAATGATGACTTTTCTTTACATGGGCTCAGCGGTCAGGGTGTGCTGGGTCAGGCACTCAAGGCTTCTTTCAAAGCCCCAAAGTACCAGCAGTGCCTCCTCTGGTCCGGGACTGCTGAGGCTTCTAGGGATAGTGACTGTGTCCTTGTAAATAGACCTCCTCCTGTATTCCACAGGCTCAGGGTTTGGGTTGCAAGAATCCGTTAGGATGAGACACCTTGGAGACACTGGGCCGTTCCGGTGCCTGCTTAAGTGGCTGGCAGGCAGGCATCCGCAGGGCACCCTGCCTGGGGCCACGCTGTGCCCCCGGGGACGTGGGTTTCCCAGCACATTGGCGAGACACCTTGAAGTGGGAAATTCAGGAGTCAGAATGTAAGAGGTCTAATACAAGAGGCTTCGCCAGAGGCCTGCCCACCCGCACCTCCTCAGGATGTAAGGAACTCTCTTCCATTAAGGCAGTTTGTAGAAAGTTCAAAACACTGCCCTTAAGTAGGCACTATCGCACGGAAATGTTGACTTTTAGAAGATTTTCTGTTCAGGCATTTGCTCACTCCTCAGTGTGCAGGTGACTGGGGAACTATAGACATTCTTACTCTGTGTAACCTGTATGCACCAAGAATGTTGTATTTGAATTGATACATTGTAGGCATACTACCACCCTCACTTACTAGTTTTGCAGGTTTGAGGTTAGTGCATCTTTCTTTATTTATTATTTATCTATTTTGTTTGACAGGCAGAGTGGATAGTGAGAGAAAGAGACAGAGAGAAAGGTCTTCCGTTGCTGTTGGTTCACCCTCCAATGGCCGCCGCGGCCGGCGCACTGCGCTTATCCGAAGGCAGGAGCCAGGTGCTTCTCCTGGTCTCCCATGGGGTGCAGGGCCCAAGCACTTGGGCCATCCTCCACTGCACTCCCGGGCCACAGCAGAGAGCTGGACTGGAAGAGGGCAACCGGACAGAATCCGGTGCCCCGACCAGGACTAGAACCTGGTGTGCCGGCGCCGCAAGGCGGAGGATTAGCCTATTGAGCCATGGCGCCGGCCTATATTGTTTCTAATACTTGTATCATCTTAATGAAGCACAGAAAATAAAACATCAATTCAGATGTGAAGCTCCACAGGACAGACTGTTAAATAGCCGTGAGACAAACCAGGCTAACTTCAAAGCCAATTTGGAGTGTTGTACTATTCATTGCTGGAAGCAATTATATTAGTCAAATATGAATGTTGAGAGTACATTTTCATTCACATGCTGTGTCTGTCCAACTGCTTTTAAATGCTTTCTTGCTCTTCATACAGTGTCGTCATCCAATAAATGTTTAATAAAAAGGCTTATTAAAGTTTTATTTGTTATACTTAACGTAAAAGACTGGAAATAAAGATAAATTAGGTTACAGTAATGGGTAAATGTAATTGAAATAATTTGGAGTACAACTTAAATCAATTTCTTTGTTGACTCAGGAATATTAAAAGTATGTGGCCACAACTTACGATGTTTTCCAATATATTATTATGGAGAAAAAAAGAGCAATATCTTAACCTTTTTATTCCTGGATTATTTGAGAAAGAATATTAGCTTTTTCTAATCTGAAAAAAAGAAAATAGGACTAAGTTAAGCTATCTTACGTACTAATTAGGTAAATATCTGGGTTAAGCAACTGCTTATACAAGACTTGAATGAGATGTAAAAGAAGTATACGCATGATTACTATTGGCTGGAATAGTGTATTCTACATACGGAAATAGAACGTTGACAGTTTTTAATGATTTCTTAACTGTGCTTATAATCTGTCACCTAAGAAACTATAACACATTCTTATTAACTTACCTGCTGAGTAAAATAGATGTTAAAATTTTGAGTAAATCACTGTTTTGGCCTAAAAATTCTATCACTGAGCTTTGGTAATGTGGAGAAAGTGTGTATTTTTCCTGCGACTGTGATTAAATCAAGTCTTGCAGGCTAGTGGAGGAACTCTGACTTGGTTCAGGTGAACTGCTGTTCACGCTAAGACGGAACATTGGGTGGAGCCCGGATCCTGGCGCCAGCACAGGCCCCAACTGTAGGGGAAGTGCTGGCCTCGCTGCCTCTGCTGGGGGCTGCCAACTCCTAACGACAGGCAGAGCTGTGCAAAAGTCGCGACAATAACATTTTAATGAGTTTTCTTTTCTTTTATTTCACTACCAGGCTATCAGCTGCAAAAGCCAGCACAGTATATCCTACACCTTGTCAAGGAGTCAGACTGTGGTGGTCGAGTATACACATGACAAAGATACGGACATGTTTCAGGTAACACAGCTTCTTCAATGGAATCTTCTAGAACACTTTCCCTTCAGTTCTGTAACTTGAATCAGAAACCCAGCACAGTAGTGTCTGGTGAGGTCTGGGAGGAAGAGGTAAACATTTTTCCTATTTGATCTTTGAAGGACTAAGAAAATCTTTATTCTAAAACTTTACAAAGAAATTATAAAGGCAACATTCTCAGATCTAAATGCAATAGAAATAGACATTAATAACAAGAATAAAAATCTTAAAAGCCAACATATTGAAAATACTTCCTAAATTAACATGAATCAAAGAGGACATCAAAACTACAATTAGAGGCCTTTTCAGAAATATAACTGGGAATTATACGGCAGAGCTCACGGGATGTGGCCAGCATCTCACTCTCTTATAGAAAATGTAAGGGCTTAAGTGCTTTCATATTAAAAATTTGAAAAGGAAACAGAGAAGGAGAGAAAGAATGAAAATGAAGGATCTAAACATCTCAAAAAGCTATTTTTTTTAAAAAACCACAGCAATTAAGAAAGTACAGGAGGGGTTCAAGAATAGCTTCAGTGAAATATAATAGAAACACAGAAATACACCTGAAGAAAATAGGATGGAAATAAAGAAACAATATTTTTAATTAGTAAATTTTAAAAGGAGAGAATTAACAAATACACCCAAGATTTTGTCCTGTAAAGCAGCCAGAAGATTTAAGTTTAGGCTAACACTGGAAGAGAGCAGACAGCTTAGGCGTGCTGAGGCTTAGCATTTTGGTATGGAGAGTCACATTATTAAATCAATGATGGTGAAATAAATGTCAAGAAAGCATGGCAGTTATTAACATCATACCTGATGCCAAAATCAATTCTAGAAAAGGTAAGCATTTAATCGTAGGAGTGAAGGAATAAAATCCTGGAACAAACTTTAGATGAATTCATATTTTCAAGGTTGGGAAGAACTGACAGCAAATGAAGAAATAGATTTTATTTTACAAAATTAGCTTCTTTTTTCATTGTCAAAAAAGTTACAGAACAAACATACTAGTAGCAACTTAGGGAACAACCAAGTAGATAAATGATTGATACCTGTAGTATCTCTTACCCCACTAAACACACACTTATTAAAAGAAGTCATATACATGGTGAATAAATAAGGAAAATGACTCTTAAAAATACCAAATAGATTAATAATAAAATGCTCTTTCTTGCTGTTAAGTACTTGAAAATATAGCCTTGACTAGCCTTGTGTGGAACTCGCACTCCTGATGGGACCTGGAGTGGCACAGCACTTCTCCAGGGCTACAGTGCCGTGTTACCAGTAATCCCCACGACCAGACCCACGGACCCAGTGATTCTACAGTTTCCATGCATAAGTAATTAAGAAATAACAGAGGCAGGCATTTGGTCCATTGGTTAGAACACTGCTTGGAATGCCCGCATACCTTGTTAGAGTGGCTGGGTTTGAGTCTCAGACCTACTTTCTATTCCAACTTCCTGCTAATGCACACCCTGGCCAGAGGTGACAACTCAGCTGCTTGGGTCCGTGCTACCCACATGGGAGACCTGGATTGAGCTCTGGGCGCCCAGCATTGGCATGGCACCAGCTGGCACTGGCATTTGGGGAGTGCTCATGCACACACCCCTACACATATGCTTACGCACACACCCCTACACATGCACATACGCATACACGTATACTGTTAGGTAAGAGACACTGAATTCCTGTTTCTTACGCTCTGCAGGAGTTCTTAGGGACACGCTGTGCCTGTCGTCTCCACCAGTGTGCAGTCACGGTCTGTTCAGACTGTTCACGTTCTTCCTTCTCGTCTGCAGAATGAATTAAAGATTTGGTTGAGTTTTTTCAGCTGTTGCTAACTTCTGAGTGCTTTATGCACATCTTTCCCATTTCGTAACACAGAGTATTAAAGACTCATGATTTAACTAAACACACACACACACACACACCAGTTTGTATTCCCTGCAAGCACATAGCAGTGAGGAGCGGAGTTCGGCTTGGAGCCGTGGAGCTGCTGCCTCGCTTCACGCCGAAGCCGCTGCAGCTTTGCCCACCTCCGCTGTAGCACCATCAGTGATCAGTGCCAAGGGCAGCACAGGGCAGAGGGCATCTTTGTGTCATCATGGAAGCGGTTTTGGCCTCCTGGACCTCTTGGGGGGGGGGGGTTGTCTCAGGGAGCCTCAGAGGCATATGGACCACACTCTAAGACATACCCCCCTTAAAGCAGCCGCTTACTTACATAGCTGAGAAACCTGGAAGTAAGCTACACTAGTGTCAGGAAAGCATGAGTGGAAGAACTAAAGAGCGAGTTCCTCGCTCCTTGTGTGCTGTCACCTTCTTTCAGTCAAGCATGGCAGCTCAAACAAGAATTTAAGAAATCCTACATTTATCATTTGTATTAAAGCAGTCTGATTCTGTGCACAAAACATATTGAAGGGCTAATGTTAGGTCATTGTATTATTTTTTAAAGATTGATTTGAAAGGCAGAATTAGAGAGAGAGAGAGAGAGAGAGAGAGATCTTCTGTCCACTGGTTTACTCTCCAAATGACTACAATAGCCAGGACTGGGCCAGGCCAAAGCCAAGAGTCAGAAACTGAGTTTCCAACATGGGTAGCTGGGGCCCGAGCACTTGGACCATCGTCTGCTGCCTCCCAGACACATTAGCAAGGAGCTGGATCAGAAGTGGAGGAGCTGGGACTCAAACCAGACACACCAATGTGTCACAAGCAACAGCTCTCACTTAGTGCGCCACAATGCCAGTCCCCAGTGTTGGATCACCTTAAATAGCAGAATTAAGCAACTCTTGGAAGGCCTTAAAAAGACATTTATTTTAACTCTTCCCTGCTTTTAATAAGTTTGTGTGCCCAAAGCTCAGCCCCTAAGTCACTGCACAAAAGTCCCTGTGGCAGAGGACAGAGAGAGGGGTCCTTTGGGCCAGGTCAGAAGCTTGGGCTTTATTCCAGGGGCTTTGGGAAGCTGTTAGAGGATTTTAGGCAGGGGAGAGTTATCATCTGGTTTGTTTTCCATAGATACCTCTAGCTACTGTGTGAGGAAGAATGCAGGGGCCACCTGTCGCTGAGCAGGATGCGAATCCTGCCTGGAACGGGTCACGTTGGAGATGCTTGTGGGACATCCCCGTGGCTGGCCTGAAGCTGGAGAGAGCCGGGCTTTGGGGCTAAGAGATGGGGTCTGATAGGATTCCAGGGAGAGAGCAGAGAGAAGGGAAGGCCCCTCTTACCAGCCAGCCCCAGGCGTCTCACTACTTTAATACTGGGTACGGATGGTGTAAGTTTTGCTGAATCGTTGGAAACCTGCGTGTAACAGTGTATCGACCATGGGCAGGGTAGCATGAGTGCTTCAGTAAGCTGGGGTAGGGGAGCTCAGAGGAGTGGGCTGAGGAGGAGGGAGGGAAGGAGGGACTAGAGAGAGGGTTGCCAGGCACTGCTGCTGTTGAGTGACAGAGAAGGGGGCTCCAGCTGAGGGTTGCTTGCAGCCAAGGGGAAGTGTTGTCATTTTGAAAATGAAAGGCAGAGCGTGATCTCCCATTCATTGGTTCACTACCAAAAACCTGCACCCGCCGGGTGGGGCCAGGAGCCAGGAGCCCAGTCTGGGTCTCCCCCACGGGTGGCAGGAACCCAATTACCTGAGCCATCCCACCAGCCTCCCAGGTCTGCCTTAGCAAGAAGCTGGAGTCAGTGCCGAGCAGGGGATTGAACCCAAGTAGCCTGAGAGGAGACACAGTTTCCACACTGGCTCAGCGCCTGCCCCAGGAAGGCATTTGCAAAGATGGGAGCCTGGGCCACAGTGGAGCTGCTCAGACTGGGATCCCCCGCGCGCAGAGAGAAATGTGTACGGATTCCAGCAGAGGTGTTTGGAAACCCTTGTGGCAGTTTGGCTTTGCTGAAACCTCCATGCAGGTGTCTCTGGTACTCGTTGTGACCGCAGTTTTTAAAGATTTCAATGACAGGTTGAAATGTAAAACGCATTCTGCAGAATGCATTGGAGAGCATTGGAAGAAAAGGAAGATTGAGGAGAGAAGGCACTGTCACGCTGGGGAAGGGGGCACTGTTGGGGTCTCGGATGGGATCAGCAGGCTTTGATCCTGGTCGTAGGAAGGCTGTCAGGACATGAAGGTCAGGTGAGGGAGACGGGTGAGGACGGCGGGGGAAGGTGAGGGAGACCCTTAAAGGTGCTTTAGTACCTAAACTGGCTTCAGCTGACATCTGGCAAAGCCAAACTTCCCTTACTCTCCTTGGCACAAGGGAACTTCGGAAACGTTGTATGTAATCCATGCATACAGGAGGTGTTCAGAACACTCACAGAAAATATTTGCATGGATTGCAAATGTGTTTTTGCACCAAAACAAACACATTGTAATTCCATTTTCCATGAACTTTTTTTAAAAAAGATTTTATATTTTTATTTGAAAGGCAGCATTACAGAGAAGGGGGGGAGAGAGAGAGAGAGAGAGAGAGAGAGAGAGAGAGAGAGAGAGAGATTTGCTGCTGCTTTCCCAGGAGCTTAGCAGGGATCTGGATCAGAAGTGGAGCAGCCGGGATTCGAACCAGTGCCCTTCTGGCACGCTGACCATCACAGGCAGAGGCTTCACCCATTGTGCCATGGCACCGGCCCCTTCCATGAACCTTCAGAAGCACCCGCATGTATAAGCTTGGAAGTACTGAGTGGACTAGAAGTCTCACTGTAGCCAGCACATGAAGACGGATGAAGTTCAGCAGCATCCTGGCTTGACAACACGACGCCTTTGAAACAGCCTCGCATCGATCCAGCAGCCTGAAAAGGTGCAGGCAGCAAGCGTTCTGCACGCAGTGATTTTTCAGCAACGTAGGAGTTTCTTTTCCTTGGCAAAAGCAGTATTAGGATTGTGTCCTAACATATAAGATTTGACTAGCGCTCTGGAAGTTAGATTTAAGTGGAAGTGAACTGATAAACAAATATAACAGGACCAGTCAGATGAGTTACATGAGTTAGAATAATTGATCCTAGCAGCACAGCCGTTCCGAATGAGATTTCATGTTTCCCGGTCAGTCTCAGGTACTTCATCAAGACGTTAATTTAATGAGCTTGGATAAGCTCAGAACGGGGCCCTCCTACAGGAGAGTAACTTGTGCTGACAGGAAGGGGCCGCCCACATTCTAGAAGGGGTGCTTTTAGCTTTGCGCTGGTAGGAGAGCTTGAGGAGCCTCTGCCGCCTTCCACGGAGGTGAACAGCAGTTAGGAGAGCGACTGTGCCATGGCGGTGGTGCCCCGGACCGGGGCGGGGGGGGGGGTTTGAAATTGTGCACATTTCACTCCTACACTTCATTGGAACCGAGGTTCAGGATGGATTTGTTTCAGAGTTTCTCCTATATACTTTTCTGTATTTGTTAAGTATTTTTGCAATATGTATTTGTCACCTTTTGAATGTTTTGGGGAAAATCTGTTTTGAAGGTTTTATTTTTTTTTTGAAAAATCTTTTTTTAAAGATTGATTTATCTATTTGAAAGGCAGACACACAGAGAAGGAAAGAGAGCTCTTCCATATACTGGTTCATACCCTAAGTGGCTGCAACAGGCAGGGCTGGACCAGGCTGAAGATAGGAGCCAGGAGCTTCCTCTGAGTCTCCCACGTGGGTGCAGGAGCCCAAGCACTTGGGCCATCTTCTACTGCTTTCCCGGGTGCATTAGCAGGGAGCTGGATCAGAAGTGGAGCAGCCAGGACTTGAACCAGCACCGGTATGGGATGCCCGTGCTGCAGGTGGAGGCCTAAGCTGCTGTGCCACAGTGCCGGCCCCTTGAAAACTTTTTTTTTTTTTTTTTTTTTGAATTAGAGCCATCTTCTTCAGGAGAGCCCCTGAGTACCACACCCAGCTTTTAAATGAGTCCCGTGTGGGGGTGCTTTCGTACTTCAGACAGATGAACTGTGTGATATGATTTTACTGTAGCTCTAATTTAGTTGTTCTGTTGCATTTTTAACAAGCTATATGTTTTCTTAGCCTGAAATGCATACATTTGGGCAGTATACATCTGTTCAGGTGGATGAGTTTGAGTGAAACCAGTTTAGTTTATTCCAGATGCATTTCCCTAGGACAAGAAATTAAGGGTTGTAAAAAAGAAGAGACAGTAGATGTCTGTCGCCTGTTGGCTTTGGAGATTGTCTATGCATGAGAAATGTATATGTGAGGTTTGCAAAATAAATGTAATAGTACTGTTCCAGCAAGCAAGCAGAGAGCAAGTGAAGCAAGATTTTTTTTTTCATTTCCTTCATGCAAATTACAATGTTTATGTTTCAGATAGAATTTTGAGATTAAAATGCCCTGCAAACTGACTGGAAACTTTTTTTTTTTTTTTTTAGTGTACTTATTTGAGAGGCAGAGACAGATAGAGACGAGAGAGACTGAAAGAGAGCACTCACACGCTGGATCAGTCCCCAGTGGCACAATGGCAGTGGAGCAGAAGCCAGTCCAGGCCTCCCGTGGGGTGGGCAGGGACCTAGTCACTTGCCAGCACCTGCTACCTCCCTGGATGTGCATTTGCAGGAGGCCAGACTCAGAAGCAGAAGCCAGGAATCAAACCCAAGCGTTCAGACGTGTGATGTGGGCATCCTAGCCCATGTCTTAACCACTCCAGAGGCGGCAAACCTTTTTCCTGCCAAAAAGCCATTTGGATAGTTACAGCACCATTCACAGGCCATACAATATTATCAACTTAAAAACTAGCCTTCTACAGATGTATTGAATTTCGAGTCCTGCCTGCAGTTGCCTTGGCAGGGCCAGACCAGATGATTTTGCAGAGTTCAAATGGCACAGGGGCCCGCCCTTCCCCACCCCTGCATCCAAGACCCACCCCAGCAATTGACTTTGTTGGCCTTATGTGCCTGGCAGCCTTATGCAGTCCGCCCATTGCCATCACCACAATCGAGGTCACTGTTGTTAGGAGAGAACAGTGTTGTCACATTTAGTGAGAAATTACTCACTTACATGTAAATGATTTTGATTTACGAGATCTCTTTGGGGGGCTGGCATTGTGGCTCAGCAGGTTAAGCCATGGTCTGCAACACTGACATCAGCTATCAGGGTGCTGCATTGAGTCCCTGCTGCTCTCTTCCAGTCCAGCCTCCTACTAACGCACCTGGAAGGCAGTGGATAATGGCCCAGGTGCTTGAATGCCTGGCACCCATGTGGGAGAACTGGATGGAATTCCTGGTCCCTGGGTTAAGCCTGGCCCAGCACCAGCTATGGCGAACATTTAGGGATGAACCAGCAGATGGAAAAGATAATCGCGCGCTCTCTCTTTCTCTGTATCTCTGCCTTTCCAATCAATAAGATACATTAAAAAAAAAAAAAAGAAATCTGCTTGCTTTTTGGCACGTATAACACTTATCCCTGATTCTAGTTAGAGGTCACTAGAACATCATTGCAGAAATGTTTTTGATATTCCATCTTGAAGAGTTCCATGTTTGTAAACAAATGCTTAACTCTTCCTACTTCCCAGGAGAGAGCAACACCTGTCTGGTTTGCCTTTATATTGAATAGGAACAGCTTTGCTGGAACTCCGCTGTGTTCTCTCTGGCAGCATTTAAGCCTTACCAGCAAAAGTGAGCCAATAGAATCTTATTGGCAACCTGTTAAACTTCCCCCAAAGAGTTCCCTAAACCTCAACCATGAACATGCCAAGAGCGGCCGTTTAAGTCTTTTATTCATCTACAGCCCAGTCTTCCTGTACCCTGAGGGGTGGCCCCAGGCTTCCTCTCCTGGGTCTGGGCGGGCCAGTTCTTGCTCTCTGCTCCAGGTCATGGTTGGATTTGCTGGTGAGGAAAATCATTGTCTGGGCATCTTCGGCTGTGTGCCGACTGGCGTGGCAGAGAGCGCCGAGTCACCAGAGTGTTTGGCCGACACAGGTGGGCAGATCCACGGAGAGCCCCATCGACTTCGTCGTCACCGACACCATCTCGGGCAGTCAGGGCGCCGAGGAGGCCCAGATCACCCAGAGCACCATCTCCAGGTTCGCCTGCAGGATCGTGTGCGACAGGAACGAACCCTACACGGCACGGATATTCGCGGCCGGGTTCGACTCCTCCAGAAACATATTCCTTGGGGTAAGTACTGTCCCCAGAGCGGCCACTGTTGTTGTACAGATCATTTACCGGGGGCTAGAGTGTCTGCTCCGTGTGGTGCCGCCCGGTCTGTGATTTTGCCATCCTGGTGGCCAGTTTGCAAAGCTGTTGCTAGAAATCAGAAAAGCATTAAGTCATTGCTTGTTATCTGTTAGATTTGCTGTGTTAATGGTAATGTGTATGTTACTTTTTTAAAAGTATGTGTATTAACATTTGTGTGCAGCATGCTTGTGGTAGGGTTTTGGATTTTTTTTTTTCCTTTTTGTTTTAAGCCTCTAAGATTTGGGGTACTAACACAGAAACAGATAACTGACAAGTGTACATTGCTAGACACCGGGCACTGTGCTAGGTATAAGAAATACAACAGAGAACAAGGTAGGTTCTGTATTTGCGGGTGATCCAAGAGGTTTATTTCAGAGAGAAGCATAGATGGCCAAATATAAGCCATCGGGGCAGGGCTCGAAGGAGAACATTAGTTCCTCCTAAACTCATTCATTCAACAGTGTTTTGTGGCCCTCGGCTGTGTTCCGCGCTGGCTGTTACACACGTGATACCACAGAGGACAAAAGACATTGAGAACCTCTGCCCGCATCTAAATCACCCCAGAAGTCCCAGTGACTATTAGCTTTACTCTGATTCCCCTTGGAGTCAGGGTATCTTTGCAGGGGGCAACACACTAAAATGGCTTTCCCGGGCACTGGCCCGCGTCGTCCGAGGGAAGGCCAGGCGCGGGCTTGCTCGCTGCAGGGACTCTGGGACACAGGGGACCCAGGCCTCTGTGCTCTGCTCTCCGTCCCCTCAGTGCTCCCGCTTCCTGGAGGAGGTGCCCCGGTCACCCCAGCATCCCCTTACGACAGGATAACGCATAGCCGACAGGGCAGCTGCAGAGCCGCTGTTTCCTCCTTGGCTTTTGGAGCCAAGAACCCTCTCCTGCATGAGGGAGGAGCCGCCCCAGAGTCATCCTTTGTGTCTGGTCAGCCAGAACCCAGCCACCGCCCCCTCCCCCCGGAAGCCGGGCGCTGGGAAGGGACCGGGCTTGGCACTCAGCCTGGGCACGTGGGCCACGTCTGGGTTCTGTCACCATCAGAGAAGGGTGAGAGCACCCCTCCCATGAGGACCTCACGCCGACGTGTGGACGCGCTTGGCTTCACGGCTGCTGGAAGCTTGTGCCTTTGGCTCAGAGGCCTGGCTTGATGACCGCCGTGCCGTCTGGGGCTCGACTCTGAGCCTGTTTCATTGGGTAACAGGCACAGAGCACTGCGCAAGCGCGGGGTCCCCAGACACAGCACGGGGCGGGGCTGGGTAGGGAGCAAGGGCGGGGGCGGGGGGCAGCAGCTCTGGAAGTCTGCAGGTGCACGCCGGGCGTGTCCTGGGCAGCTGCACGGTCTCTCCCCGTGATTATTAGCTCCCTGCCCCTGCTCAGTCTTGCAAGGAGACTGCTGAGTGCCCAGGCGCTGGCCGCTGTCTCGTGGGCGTGACGTGTCTGCTCTGCTCTGTGACCGCTCTGCAGGAAAAGGCAGCGAAGTGGAAGAACCCCGACGGCCACATGGACGGGCTCACCACCAACGGCGTGCTGGTGATGCATCCGCGGGGCGGCTTCACCGAGGAGTCGCAGCCGGGGGCCTGGCGCGAGATCTCCGTCTGTGGGGACGTGTACACCTTGCGGGAAACCAGGTCGGCCCAGCAGCGGGGCAAGCTGGTGAGTAGGCTCCACCCGGCGAGCCGGCACGGTGCCGCACCCTACCTGGGGGTCTCTCCCGAAGCAGGGTGGAACCCCACAGCCCCGGGAGGAGGAGGGCGACACCACACTCGCCATCGGGATTAAGCTTTTCCTGTAGGGCAAGCAAACTATCTTTCCTTCCTCAGCAGCTTAAGAACGGAGTCTTTCCTTAGAGTCCTCACCAGAGTTCTGCTTAGGCTCGCTTGATTTGGTGTAAGACCCCACAGATTTGGAAAAAAATCCTGAGTATTCCAACACTAATGAGTCACACTTATGAATGCAAGAATGATCCACTAGACTTTCTAGAGCCAAGAAATAATGGACTGCCCCCCCCCCCACATGATAGTAAGCATTAACGTGGAACTTTGTGTCTTGCTCTCCAGGCTCCCACGTCTTAACTTGAAAGGACTTCTAAACTCCATGTGACTGTTTTCTTGTAAATATCATACTTACCTCCGCCCTGTCCTAAAGCGGTGTATATTTTTTAACCTTCTTCTATGGAGACTAATTCTAGTACCTTCCATGGGAAACCTTCGGTTTCGGATCTTGCCAGAGCTTTAGGGCACAGCCACCAAAGAAAGCTAAACTCTCCCCTCCTTTACTTTTCACTAATTTTTAGGTAGAAGCTGAGAAAGAGGGCCTTCTCGGGCCCTCCCACGGGAAAATGTAGGGGGCAGAGGCCGCGTGCGTCCCCCGGGGGAAAGCTGGAACCACAGCAGAGGGCAGGCGGCTCTGCCCGCCTACCTTGCTGCTCTCTCCTGGACGCCTGTCCTTAGACAATCTGGCTTGTGGGGCCATCGTCCACCACGTCCCCGCCGTGGGCCCAGCGTCTGCATCGCACAGTTAAGCCTGGTCTTGCAGCATCACTGCTGAACCAGTTTAGGAGGCTTTTCCCAGGCCAAGCAAGTTCCAGAAATTTCGCTGGAACATTTTTCAAGGAATTATAAATGGGAAAAGGAATGTGAACGCAGATCTTTTTTTTTTTTTTTTCTTTTCCCAAGTAACTTTTTGTTTCTGAGCATCGGATAGCTGTGCACAAAACTGACCTCGACTGGCCGCCCTGGTCCCTGATCGTTGGGCCCGAGAGGAGAGCGCGAGCCTGTGGCTGCGGGCGCCGTGCTGTGCCCTGGTTCCAGGCCTGTGTGCATGCGCACTGTGGCCCTCTGAGGGAAGTGGCGTCGTCCCAGTTAGGGATGAGGACGGTGTGGCACGGGGGAGTTCACGGCCATGAGCCTGGGCTCCCTGCCACTTGGAGCCACGTCCTGGGACCCACGCCCCGGGGTAGGATACAGTGCAGCCTCGGCTCTCGAGTTGAGAGCAGGAGCGCTGGGCTCTGGGCCGTGGGATATGCACCTGCTTAGGCAGCTGGGTGAGCCCCGGCGGAGAAGAGGCAGTGCCAAAATGTCGTGGGCTCCACACACGGGCTAGTTCTGAATTTAGCCCCTTGAAGTGATGCTTAGATCCGGGGAAACCTGTGCTGTCCCGCGAACCTGGCCGCGGGGGCTGTTTGGGCAGTGAGCCAGCAGATGGAAGATGGATTTCTCTCTCTCTCTCTCTCTCTCTCTCTCCTCTAACTTGGCCTTTCAAATACAAAAGTATGAAAAATAAAAATTTAGGGAGATTTGTAAAGTTCATCGAAAACAGCCCCCGTGTCCACTGGGCGTGTAAAGCTGGGTCAGCCGTGCGCGGGGCCCGAGGGGAAACCGAGGCACGCCCCGGGCCCGTCCTCCGTGCAGCACGGTGCCTCCCGGTCTGTGCTCCCCGAGAGGGGGCAGGCAGGCCGGCGCCATCTGCCCGGGGCCGGGCTGGGGTTTGCCCTGACCGCGCCCCTTCCGTGCAGGTGCAGAACGAGAGCAACGCGCTGCAGGACGGCTCGCTCATCGACCTGTGCGGGGCCACGCTGCTCTGGAGGACGGCCGACGGCCTCTTGCACACGCCCACGCAGAAGCACATCGAGGCGCTGCGCCAGGAGATCAACGCCGCGCGGCCGCAGTGCCCCGTGGGGCTCAACACGCTCGCCTTCCCCAGCATCAGCCGCAAGGAGGTGGTGGAGGAGAAGCAGCCCTGGGCCTACCTGAGCTGCGGCCACGTGCACGGCTACCACGACTGGGGCCACCGCAGCGACGCGGAGGCCAACGAGCGCGAGTGCCCCATGTGCAGGACTGTGGGCCCCTACGTGCCCCTGTGGCTGGGCTGCGAGGCCGGCTTCTACGTGGACGCGGGGCCGCCCACGCACGCCTTCACGCCCTGCGGACACGTGTGCTCCGAGAAGTCGGCCAAGTACTGGTCCCAGATCCCGCTGCCCCACGGCACGCACGCCTTTCACGCCGCCTGTCCGTTCTGCGCCACGCAGCTGGTCGGGGAGCAGAATTGCATCAAACTCATTTTCCAGGGCCCGATCGACTAGCGCCCGCGCCCGCGCCCGCCACCCTCGACTTCTGTTAACAAGTTACTGTGAAGATTCCGCCCTGGCTCTCAAGTCGACCTTTTCCTAAGGCTGTGGATGAGCGGAGGGCGCGGCGCCCGCGCGGCGCAGGGCGGGGGCGGTGATGGGGCCCCCGCGGGCTCTGCCTGGATCCTAGCGTAACAGCTTCCTTAAGAATTGCATTGCAGATGCCACGCTTTTGTTTGTAACCTGGGGCTTTTTTTAAACCAAGTGTTTTGTTATTGTTGTTGTTTCTTCCTTTTTAAACCTGGACAAGTCCTGTTTTACACCTGTAGAAGACATGGATTGGCCGGTTATTGACGGTCAGTGGGCACCCGAGGGGGCCGCCCCTGGGCAGCCTCTATGGTGGTGGGAACGCCACCGGAGGCCAAAGGGGGCTCCCTCTGTGTGACAGGGAGCAGGGGGCCTTAGGCACAAGTGGGGGGTCCCAGAATCTGGGGCTTCTCTTCTGACCTGTTTTTCTTAATTTTGGGGGAGACAATAGTCACCTAATTTTGTTTTAACTTTAGTGGAATTTACTCATTCATCAAATAACTTGGCATTTCAAAGAATTTCCCACAAGTTTTCCGTCAGCTTTTTGTTACTCGTGCATAATGTTCTTGGGCCGTGATACCCATCTCGCTTAGCCAGAACGGTTTGGTTGACTAAACCGCAGCAGTTCTCGGAGCTTCCATAACAAAGGGTGGTTCCTGCAGCAGGAGGCGTGGCCTCAGCACTGTGATGCCAACCTCCTTTGCTTGCTGAACTGTGTAAGATACAAGAGTGGTTAAAAATAAGCTGCTGCTTTTTGAAGCCACTTGTTGGATCATAAGAAAGCCAAGAATCCCTGAGCCTCAAAGCAACAAATCAGAGCGAAAATCATTTCTATTCACTCAGTTCCCACCATCTGTCACCTTCCCCTGCAGCCTAAGGCGCTCTGGAAGTTTTGAAAATGTTTGCAAATCAGACTAAATTTATATGTGATCATTAGATACACACACACCAAGTGGTACATCTGCAGAGGTAATTTGAAATTCTTGATTTTGGGAGAGTGAGCGAGTGTTTACAGAAGAATAATTAAACCAGAATTTCACATGCACCGGCATCCCTCTCCGTTAGCTTCGTTCGTTTTGATTAATAATTCTTGGATGCTCATTTCTCTGTTCTCGGTACCACCAGCATCACCACACCCAGACAGTAGAGATCCTTGAACTGCTAGGGGCTGGCTGAGATAAAATAGGTCCCTGCCGCCTGGGGCTAGTCTCTATGTAAGCTAACATCCTCTTACACTGACCACTGCAGATTTGAGCTACCTTTTTTAATGTTTGTATATAGACATATGTAATTTATATGATTCTAATATACTGTTATATCCTTACTTGAATTGGTTCTTCCATATTTTGCCTACCGGCAAATATTTTTTGCCTCTGTTGAGTCATTCTGATCTATTGACTGCCCTTTTCCTTAAAAGTGATGATATATTCCTTGTGACCGCTGCTGCTTAATTGGACTTCATATTTTCAAAGTTCAGCCTCTCCGTTTTAAAAATAGCTTTATTTACAATGGCGAGCATTGTTTAGGATGAGGCATTTTTGGCTTTGGGTTTTGTTTTTGTCATTCTTTTTTTAAACGATGCAAAAATCCAACAACAGTCCTCTTCCTGGTGGCTTCCTCTGCTCTGTGCAGCCTCCACTTCCTGTACCCAGAAAACGAGAGGCGGAAACATGGAATAACCTGGAATAATACAGCGGATGCCTTCTGACGTAGCCAGAGTCGCCGGTGATTCGCTTTCCCCAAGACTGTCTGTTTAGCCTGTGAATCTTTGGGCTCCAAAGGATAATAAAGGAGGCAGCTTGTTCCCTTTGCTTGTGGCTAGGAGCTGATTGGAGGATTCTTGACACCCTAAAAATCATCTTGTAAGATAAATGGCTTCGCATCCAGAAAAGCCAGATTTTTACCTACCAAAAAAAAATATATTTTTTCCAAAAAGTAATGCTCCGATGTCATGATTTTCCATTGCAGGAGCCATGTCTAGCAGTTGTGCCTGAGACATGCACCCCGACATAAAGTGGTCTTTCCACTTGAAAAGTTTCTGACTTTCATAAGCGCAGAGAGTTTATGTGTAAGTTGAAATCTGGGTAATGACTCAAGCGGTGACAGCAAAGCCATCCCCTGTGGGATCCACATCTCTCCCGTGGGGTCCCAGGTGAGGCCTCCTCTCCCTCTGCCCAGGGAACCGCGGAGAGGTGCTTGGTCTGACCCAAGGAAACCATGCTGAGCGTGGCCCCCTTCAACGTGGTTCCCTTAAAATGTGGACGAAGGATACTTTTTTTCAGCGTTGAAAGCACTTCCATGCGTGGGAATGAAGAACTCTAGCTCAGCAGAGTGGAATAATACAGTTCAGAAAAGGCCACTTCTGTGTCTCCGTCTTGCTTGCTGTCACATTACAAGGCAGGTCTCAGGCCCCTTGTGGACACGGAAGGAAATTGCTCACCAGTTACCCTGGCTAAGATGCCTTTGTGAGTAAGTTTCCAGGAGCGAATCCCAAGTGACGTATTCCCATAGATGATGTTCTTTTTTTTTTCAGTTGTTTATGTCAATTTACTACAAAAACAAAGCAAACAAAAGAAACCACAATGATTCAGAGTTAACTGGTTATAACTCTGAGTATTTTTCTAGTCCGAAATTTTTTTATTATTACTAATCGGTGCTGTCGGGTCATGCATGCTGTAACTCTCAACATTTCTCTTATTTGGCTAAACTGTTTGCAAAAAGGGCTACAGTTCACACTGCAGAATAAGTACTTAGCTTTCTGGGTACCCCCCCCCAACTGTGGCCCAAAAGAATTGAAATCTTTTAATATAAATAGAAAGCATATTTATCATTCCTCGATAGTTAATTATAGAGTTTGGTACCTCTGTGCCTCAGGGAAGCCACATGGTATGACTGGTTATAGAATTTCAGGGTTAGGGTTTAAAGAAAGGAGAAAGCCATTGGAAAAACGGTGGGCTCCATTCAGGAGACTAATGAATCCGGATGCAGAAATATGCCAGGGACTGGCGTAAACATGATTGTAGTAGAATTTATTTTCCAGTACCAGTAGGGCAATCATTCTTAGAAGTTATTACTTGTACCATAGTTGGGAAGGTGAGGGCAACTCTTGCCTTTTACTTTCTCACACATAGAAAAACTCAAACCTCTGTTCTTGGAGAGCTTGGTGGTGGTGTTTGGGCACTTTTGAGAGTGTAAGGAGCACATTTTTTTTTTTTTTTTTTTTTACTTACGTGTAATCGAGGTTTGGAGTTATAAGCCGCAGTTCTGTGTGGTTCTGCTCACTTTGTCTTCTCTTTTGAAGCCATTCTCTCTCCGAGAGTGTGTGGCCACACCATTGCCAGTGCTGGGTAAAACAGGAGGGCTCCGTGCGGTCTCGCCCCACAGCCGTGGAATCTCTGAGGGACAAACCCCGGGACCTCTAAGCCACATCCTGTCCTGTTCCGGTGGCTGTGCTGCCTCTGCCAGCTCAGAGCCTGCAGCTCTTCCGGTGCTGGAGATACAGCACAGCTCTGCGGCCATGTCTGTGCCCCAGAGTCCCAGGGAACAGCATCGGGAACTTTTGCAAAGAATGTAAACAGGATTGAAGCAGTGACACACGAGGCGGCTCAGTGTTTTCCTTTTAGTGAGACGTACATCCTCACAGATACGTTTTACCCTCATGAAGAATCCGTAAGGAAAGATGGGCAAGAACTATTTTTCCAGGTCTACTTCGTTGTTTCTAAACAAAACTGAACGAAAGGGAAGTGACTTCTTCCCAGCTGAGATGACAGATTGCTTCTCTGTGTTAAACAGTCCGGACATCAAGGGGGTGGTCATATTTACCACGTATAGTGTTATGAGCAGTTAAATTTTATGGATATATTTGTAAGATCATTCTTTTATATTTCATGTCAAATTGAAAAGTTTTTATTTCTTCACTATTGTACCTGTGGAAATACAAGCCATTTTACAGGAAAAATCTTCAGAAACTATTAAATGGATCTCCGTACGTGTGTGAGTCCTTGTCCTTGGGGTCTATGGTTGTCACTGGGTTCCTCAGGTCATTGAGTAGAAGGCTGACACAGAAGGAGACTCGAGTTTGGCATTTCTAGAACTTGGCAAGTTCGTCCCAGTTGAGTGAGTTATTATTTGTATCCTGCACAATACATGTTTAAATCCAGATTCTGAAAATTCGCCACTTTTGTTTTATTGAAGAACCTCCATTGGTGTGTGTGTTACTATTTCTGTGACTACATGACTGTCACACGTATTTAACATCCAGCAGAACATAACCCGGCTTGTAGAATTAATGGACTTCCTTCATGATCGCTATAGTCATGTTGCTACTTTTGTGGCAACGCTCATTCATTCTGGCAACAAAGATAATGTATGAGCCTTCAAGCCTTAAAATAGTGTATCTGTCATAAGGAAATATATGTATTTATGACACTTTTCTCATTGCATTGATACTCATAGAGTCTTAAGTTTTTCACTTCCAAAAAAAGAAAATGCTCATTTATATAGGTTTTCATATAAGGGAATAAGTGTTCCATACTTCATCAAATCTAAGATGTCACAGATTTTAAGATGCATTATTCTAAAAACCACAGCCAGTTATGTTCTTAAGACATGTCCCATTTGGCAAGGGTGACGGGACTACTTAATGGGTAGGAAAAACAGCAGGGACGAAGGGATATCCACCAGACAAAGCATGTGCCAGTCCCACCTCACACACAGAAAAATTAACTCAAGCTAGATCAAAGAGCTGAAGTTGCACAACTCCTAAAAGAAAACATAGATTCAACCCTTGCAGCCTTGGATGACCCCAAAATTTCTCAAATACAATGTGAAGAAAATGCCAGAAGCGAGGACAGATAGTGCTTGGGCGCCTGCATCGCGTATCAGTGCTGAGTCAAGTCCCACCTCCTGGGATTCCAGCTTCCTGCTGACGTGCACTCTGGAAGGCAGCAAGTGGTGGGTCAAGAGCTTGGAACCCTGCCGTGCCCAGGGGAGACCCAGGTTGGCTTCTGTGACCCAGCAACCCTCACTGCTGCAGGTGCAAGGTCTCTGTTCTGTCTCTCTTTCAAGTAAAATAAAAATATTTTTAAAAACCATAAGCAATAATAAAATGACAAGTTGAACTTCAAGTTAAAGAGGACATTGTCAAAAGAATAAAAATTATGAAATGGAAAATATTTGGTGATCGTAAGTCTGACTTAGGACTTGCATCCACAGGGTGTGTGTAAATATTGTGTGTATGCATATACGTATATATACATACATACGTAGAATGCTTACAACTACCAATAAAAACCATGTTTTTTAAAAATGGGCAAAAATTTCACTAAATATCTTTCAAATAAGATATACAGCTGGCCAATATGCACATTAAAAACATGTTCAGTAACTTAGCCAGCAGGAAAACGCAAGTTAAAGCCACACAATAACACTTTCTACTCACTTGGATGGCCGAAGTCAACAAGACTAACAAATGTTGACAGAGATATGAATACTGGAGATTGTTTTATGGGACAAAGAGTTTGGTGGAAAACACAATTACTGTGTGATCCAGTAATTCAACTTCTAGGTATATACCCAAGAGAATTGAAGAAATGTTCATTGCAAACACATACATGAGTATTTGTAGCAACATTATTCATAATAGCTGAAAAGTGTTAACCCAAAAATGTCCAACTGAGCAAAATCATGGCTTATGAATGTTCAGAACTTCCGAACTTCAGAAAGTTACAGGAAATAGAATTAAAAATGTTTATTTTAATGCAAAGAAAATTGAGAAGCCGTGCATATGAAAGATCTTCAAAAAGTTCACAAAAATGCATGTGAGAAACTGCATGGGTTTCAATTTTTTTTTGCACCAGAATAAACTTACCCTCTAATCCCATTGTCCCTTGAACATTTTAAAGTATCTGTGTATCCATACAGTGGAGTAGTATTCAGCCATACAAATTAATGGAGATACGGGTACACAGTGCAACACAAATGAAGCTCCAATACATAATATGTGAAAAGACAGACATGAAAGTCCCCGGACTGCATGTCAGAAATAAGCAAATCCATGAGACAGAAAGTAGGCTGGTGGATGTCAGAGGTTAAGGAAAGAATAAGGAGTGATTACTAACAGTTGCAGGGTTTCTCTGGGCGAGAGTGACGCTTGTACAACTATGCGAATATGTGAATATACTAAAAACCAGTGAACTGTGCACTTCAGAGTGACTCATAGTATGTGAGTTGTTTCTCAGGAAAGCTATTTTTAACAAGATACATCCTAAATTTAGAGATGTTAGGTTGTGAAGAATTTGCGTCTTAGAATTGAAATACCATAATCTTTGGTTGTTCGCGTGGGAATATTTGGGATCCTCCCGTGTTTGCCGGGGGGTTCTGCAGAGTCTGAACGCGTGGCCTTTTCCTTCTAACGCACTGCCACTCGCCATTAGATAAAAAAGAACAAATAGGCCTTCCAAAGAAGCTTAGAAGACAACTGCGTATTCCCAAGGCCCTAATAACTTTTCCCCTATTAGGATGAAAGCCTAGAATGCTATTTTGAAAGGTTTCAAAATACACATTCTTGAAAAGGTAAGCTTATGATCAAAATCAATATAGGGCTAATGTAAACAATTAAAAACATGGGAAGTATGATTGGAAAAAAAACATAATTCCATCACCCAGAGGATAACACTATCGATATGTGGAAGTAATTTCTTTTTTTAAGATTTTATTTGAGAGGCAGAGAGAGAGAGAGAGAGAGAGAGAGGTCTTCCATCCACTGGTTCACTCCCCAACTGGTCGCAACGGCTGGAGCTGGGCCAATCCAAAGCCAGGAGCCAGGAGCTTCTTCCAGGTCTCCTACATGTGGGCAGGGGTCCTAGCATTTGGGCCATCTTCTACTGCTTTCTTAGGCCATAGTAGAGAGCTGGATCCAAAGTGGAGCAGCTGGTCTTGAACCAGTGCCCATATGGGATGCCAGCACTGCAGGCAGCGGCTTTATCCACTACACCACAGCGCCAGCCCCTGGAAGTAATCTTTCTAAACTTAAAGTAATTTTACATTGAGACTTCCATTTCTATCTTGGTTCTGGGCTGTATTTTTGAGAGCAGGAAAAGGCGAGGTCTTGCATGTCTGTAGCAGGAACACGTCTGAGACTCCCAGGGGAGGCCAGGGCTGCTGTGAGTGCTGAACTGTAAGCCTCAGCAAAATCCTGACTCTGTTGCTAGCCTGGACGCCCACAGCCAGTTGCAGGACGTGCCGTGAAATGGCCTGGCTCCTGGCTCCAGGGTGGCCCAGCCCCAGCCATTGCAGTCGTTTGAGGAGTGAACCAGCAGCTGGACAATCTCTCTCTCTCCATCTCTGTAACTCTGCCTTTCAAATAAATAAATTAAAAAAAAAATCCCATGTAGCTTCCCAATAGGTAAACAGATAAAAGCAATATTTTAGTGGCATAGTAAGCCTCAGCGGGGAAAATTATCTAGGAAGAAAACATGTCAAACGGTTGGAAAAATAGCAAACATTTTTCATTTTGTGTGTGTGTGTGTGTTGGAGAAAAAATGATTTGTGGTTCACCTGCCATCCTAATACTCTTGAATTAAAGCAAAACTAGAAGCTTGAAAGAAAAGTAATAGAACATTTTAGAAGTTAAATAATTTATGATATCTAATAATTATATCACACCTATTAGTGTCAGACAAAAATCACCTAATGGCACCTATGTGCAAAGACATCTATATAGCTCATGTTGGCATAGCCAGTAAGTAGAGGTAGACAGCAAGTGGATAGACTACATTCTTACTACAGGCGAAATACACACACACACACACACACACAAAAGAAGCAGAAACAATGGTATTTGGGGAGAGGCTGTGTTAGGAGAGCCCCGCGTGCAGTGTACTCACAGCTGTGTCGCAGCTGCGGTCCCGTCGTGGCCTGACACGCCACAGGTGACACCTGCAATTTGTAATCAATCCATTGATTCAGGGCTTCTGATCATTCAAATGGGATCCAGTTCTGCCCATCGAACCCTCTTTTCCTCCTAAAGGGCTGAGAGGCCAGCGTTGCTTTGGTGGGGAAATGGGTCCTCTCCTTCTGTCACTAGGAGACTTGTGCCTGGGAGCAGAGAGACAGCAGGTGCTGGCGGTTCCAGGGCTGGAAGACGTTCGGTGTCACTCGGGGCGTTTCAGTCGGTGAGTGTGGCACTTGTGCGTGGAGAGCCAGTGGACCCCATGGTGGCATCCCAAACATCCGGCTGAGCTGAGGCTCCAAACCGAACCGTGTGTGAGCGCTCAGCCACCGGCCTTCCTCTGAGGCCACGGGGGAAAAAGGGATAGGTCAAAGATCAGACAAACACGGAGAAGAGGCCACCCCCAATCAAAGCCCACACGGGGGACTTGTCAAGGGTGTCTGGTGGGCTTGGCCCTGGGCTCAAAGTCACCCAGATCTGGGACCCTGAAGAGGCCAGAGTGTGTGTTGATTTCCATTGAAGAGAGAAAAATGCTTATGAGGAGACAATAACCCCACTCTCCATCTCCATACCCGTCTCCCTCCCTGCCCTGCAGCCCTGCCCTTCCCTGTCAACCATCTGAGAGGACGAGCCCCTGGGCTGCCAGGGGCCTTTGAGAAAGGTCCCTGGTATTCTTGGTGTCAGGTGCTCCTGGAGTTCAGAAGCTGACCCCTCACCGTCACGCCTGCAGAGCAGCCAGACCTTGCACCGCACACCAACTGCGTCCCGTGTGCCTTCCTGTATTTCTGCCTGCTGAGGCAGGGCTCTGTAAAAGCACTTGCCAGTGCTCAGAAGGCAGAGCCGTCACTTATCGTCCTCTGCTGCTGCCATGACGCTGACGGCTCCTTTTCTCGCTGCCCCAGGACTGTGCGAGCCGCCCCTGGTGCTCGCGCCTCATTTCCGAAGCAGCTGCGGGGAGCGCACTGCTGCTCGCGAATGCAGGAGCTAAACTAGCAGCAGCTGCGGCGGTTTCAGGAGTTGAGCCGGTAATCAAGTCA